GACCAATCGAGTGAAAGAAACTTTCATGACTTATGAACATTGAAATTTGAGTTCTGTAAGGAAATTTTGAGTGTGCACTTTATATACCGATGTGAGGGTGTATTTTGTGACATGTAACACCATTTATTATTATTATTATTATTATTATATGATATGAGGTATCTAACCCAATTCATTATTATTCTATGAGATGATGTATCTAACCCCATTTATTATGATATATGATGTATGTAACACCATTTATTATTATGATATATGATGTATCTAACCCCCATTCAGTATTATGACATGGGGTACCTAGCCCCATGTGTTATTATTTTTGGTGCTATTATGTTATGATATATGTATCCCAATATATTTTTTGTGAAGGTGTGTCACATTCTAGTTGTATGTTAACAGATTTCCATTTCTTTTGCCCAATTCTGACCAGTAGGGAATTATTTTTCTATTTTTATTGATATAATTTTTGCAATATTTTGTATTAATCATTTAATGTGTATGTTACTACTTACGTGTTTTCTGAACGTTACCGCATAATATAAATCTTGGGGAAGGGGGAAGCTTTGTCATGATCGTGATGACGGCTAACCTGAAAATTTTAAGGTTTCATATTACGCTCAAACGTCCACAAAACTTTCCGAGTCCTCCAGTGGAAACGTCCCCCGTTTTCTCTGTTTCCTTTGAATATAATCCGCAGATTTCGTAGCAAGATGCTGTATGTTGGGACCTGTTGCCATCCAACCCTTTGTAATCAATTTAATTTTGCTTTTGATAACTCAGTCAGAGCATTGTTAGTGAGGATAATAGTAGGGAATGAAACTGAATTCATAGTCTGTTTCAACGTCAGAGTGTACAGTAAATTAATTCATCGAAATAGAAGTAGGTGGACTCCCTGGCCTATTTTGAGTGAGGGTGCCGCGGGCATTTCAACCGTTAGTAAGTGCTCGTCCCTTCACCCATACAGGTAGGCCATTCCACTGTGTTGTAATTCGCTCTTCTTTAAGTGATTTGACCCAATTTATAGTTGATTGTGCTAGTGTTACAGTAACGTAGTTGATATGCTCTGAGTGAAGTCATATTTACGTCTTTAACGTCCCCTGAAATGTGATGTCGTTGTCACAGTAAGTGCTCGTCCCTTCACCCATACAGGTCCCTAACGCAGCCTAGGCCGTGCCTGTAGCGTGGATGTTGTATCCACTATGTCTGGGGAGATGTTCGAGGTCCAGTAGGATCAGTTACCTTCATGAGACCCGGCCGTCAGACACTTCAGACTACCTATGGCCCCCCATAGCTGGCTCGGCCTGCGAGGTGACCCCGGATCACCAAGCCACACACCACTACCAGCCCCCATCATTGGTGGATGAGTGTCTAACTCAGTAGGGCTATTTGTGTGGTGGGGTTAATCCGCTGGGATCTTCAGAGTTCGTCGGAAAGTACTCCATGGTGGCAGGACCCCATGGCGGTTGCTTGAGAATCACTCCTGACGACTGAGTGTTGTAGTGGCAGTTGTCCCTGGTCTTTATGGTGCTAAGTGACTATAAGAGTTATGTGTTATTGAGTATGTCCACCCAGTAGTGGTGTGAGTATGTTGAGCCTGAGGGCATAGTACCAGATTTCGTCTGTTGGTACATATATATCCTTTCTCCTAATTCCATATTAATGTTTAAATAAATTTTGTATTTGTATATTGTGTCTATTATTTACCTACAGTATTTACCGTTATTTCTTCCCTATTACTTGATATTATCATTACATATACCCACGAGCCTCCTCTCGTCACGCTACCAATGGTAATAAGTATGAGAGTAAAAGGAATTGTTACTGACACACAGGCCCTTATAAAATGGTAGCAGCCCAGGCCCTCATAACTGTACATTAAATAGCATGTAACTTCGCGTTCGCTATTCCGTGCATCTAAAATGCCTTACTATAAACGCCTTATATTAGTGGTGGTGATATTGATGGTAATGTTGGTGAGTGGTGATAATGGTAATAGTGGCGATAGTGGTTGTGGTGATGGCAACAGGTTCGGGTTGCTGTGATTGTGGGCGTTACAGGCTTGTCTGTCTCCTGACCTCCATGATCATTCCTCGTCTCACTCTCATTGTGTGTACACTGTACAGGGTATATGTGTCAAGCATTTGCACTACTGTACTGTATATTAAATTATGTGGATGTCAACACTGCTTGAAGACTCTCAGGGGAGCCCAAGAAAGCAAACAGAACGGTCACTAACATTTATCAATTACAGCAGAGTGAATGGTGGTCTATATAACGCGTTTTAGATGCACGGAATAGCGAACGCGTTACCTTTCGCGGACTGTCATTAAAAAATACGACATTGTACCGTGTCTTGGGAATAACTGCTGTACAACACATGTCTTCAGAAAACAATATAATTAAGAGAACTGTTATTTGGACACAATACTGAAAGAAATAGGGAAGAAAATATATAGAAAATTATGGAAAAAAAGACAAAAAAGGGAAAAAAAGTCAGTCGACAATAAATAAGAACACAAAAAATCAGTCCTGTTGTGAAGGCAATTTCTCCCGAACACTGAAACCACACTACTGTCTCTTACAGCTAGGAGTTCCCATATTAAAACACGAAATACAACGAATTTCATGTTCATTTAAGTCTTAATTTTTGCACATACAGAACTGTAATCAAGTTGTTCACCATTATTTAAAGTATCTTATTAGTAATGATATTAAGGTTTCAACCACATTTGAGTAATTATCAATATTGTTACACCAAAGTCACCAACAGCTAATGAAATCAGACAGCGCCCACTTAAAAACGAGCGGAGCCAAAACAGGTTTCAACTAGGCACGATCCTTTTCGATTCTTTCATGCCATACGCTTTGTTTTAAGTCCTATCCAATATAATAGTTTATATAATTATTTTTATTCTTATATCAGTTTTTTATTGCCTTACGTGCCCCCAACTCTTCAATATTAATCAAAACATTTTCCATAAGCGGCCATGATCCGCATATTTACCCACTGTTTTAGTGGGAGAAACTCGCTGATTGGCCATTAACTATCTGGGCGCTCCACACGCTAATGCCTGGTCAAGGTTTTTGATTTTCCCTCTAAAGGGGTCATGTGCAGTACTCAGCAGAAGCGTCTGCGCAGACAGAATAGCGAACTCATTAGTTATTCCGCGCATCTAAAACGCTTTACAATAAACGCCTATAGTATTTCCAAGCTAATATCTAATATAGGCGACGTTATATCATACTTTTAATTTACCTTTCCCAAATTTTGGCCTTCACATTGTGTTTATTTGTGGAGAGGCTGGTGTTACAGAGGCTTAGTCATGAGTCGGGACAGAATCCAACAGCACAAAGCCAGAGTATGAGGGTGGACGCCAATAGCTTGCCCCAGTCCGTCAGAGCACCTTAAGTTAAATTCCTGTGGTTGTGGTTCGGCTCTGAATGACGGACTTCACCAAAGGAACAGCCCTTGTCGATATCTTAAAACAATTATATTTGGATGGGAAAATGAATGGCCGATACGAAATTACCTCGTATGGGCAATTTTCACGCTTTAGTACTTAATATGCAAAGCAAATGAAAATGTAATTTTTGGAAAAACAAAGACTTACCTTTTAATTCACTAGGTTGGCTGTTAATAAGGCGGGATTGGTGACAGGCGTTTGTTGATAAGGACGTTGGAGTGTAAGCTGTTATCTAGTTAGGGAACCACTGGAGATCTTGATTTTTAGATCTCCAGTGGTTCCCAAACTTTTTTCAAATGATGCCCCCCTTTTGTTTTTATTCACAGCATCTTTTCTAACTTGATACCATAATGATCCTGAATAAATTCTCTGCAAGAGTTTTCCAATAGAATATCCTTAATCAAAAAATTTTGACATGATATAATGGGGGACTCGATTCTTTACGGAAAAACTTAAGAAATTTTGATACCAGTCTTTAACTTGAGTTCTAAATATATTAGAAACACCATTTTTTTTTGCCCAAATAAACCTGAATAGTTTACCTAAAATTTGGTTAGATATATTTAAAAAAACAAATTCTATATGATAAAGGTGTGCAAGACACAAATATGGTACAGCAGCAACAAGCTGCCAAGAGGGTGTGATAGAATGAGGAAAAATTTATTTCTCCCAGACTGTTTCTTATCTCTTTTCTATTTCGCCTTTAATTACTCCTTTTTACTTAAACAAGTACAGAGAGTATACTTTTATCCTCTTTGCCACTGATCGGCTCGTTAGCCACTTGGGCGATCGGTCACGTGGTAGAGATGGGACGAGTGACTGAGTGAGGGAGTAGAATGAGAAGGAAGTGGGGGTTGCAGGGGTTATTTCCCCTCCCCTGTAACTGATATAGGGAGAGGGAGGTGAATAATGATAATGGATAACCGAGAGTAAGAGAAATCTAGGATATGGCACCCTTACAGTGTTGAGTCCAGGCTAAAAATTGTGTTTGGATAGTTGGAATAAATACTGTAAATAAGTTAATGTATACAACTACAGTACTACACTACTCACCAGCAGATGCTGTTGTCTTGAACTTACAGTAGACACAGTCCACTGATGAATGTAATACATAAATGTAATCACTTGTGATGGAGGTGTGGTAAGGGGATTAGTGAGCTCATATTACTGACCTTCTGATGCAATGTTAGGTTATCCATTGTCAGGGTGGGGGATTAGTGGATTTCATGACCTGAAGATGTCTTGAATAAAGATGAAAGCTAAGATGTTCCACTGTTTCCCACTTCCTGAATGTACAGTACAATACAGTATAAGTAACTGCAATCCTCTTTTACATAACACTGCTTTAACACTGTATTCTTGGGTGATTGTCCTGTTAATGTCCAGTACTGCACAGCACAAATTGTATGAAAAAACAAACTTGTGAGGGAACAACCTACTACAATAGCAGCAGAATATGAACTAAATCCATGCAGCTAGGCCACCCACACATCTGGCACATGGGGACACATTATTTCTTAGGGCAGAAGAGAAAACTAAATTATTCCATTTTATTAATAAATCCTACAACATTATCGGTGGGGGTACAAAAGGCCATTGCAAAAAATATATATACAGTATATACAAAATACTGTATTTGCATATAAATTTTTTTGTAGAAGAAACGAGTGCAGTTAGTAGCTAATGAAAGCATATAGCATATTCAATTTGACAAATTTTGTTTCACTGATATTAGAAATACATGTACTATAATGTATTGAACCTATACCTAATGAAATCTGACATGTTTTACTTGATTCACACTCAAGTTGCTTACATTTTCAGACATATATTTTTCCCCAGACATTCTTCATGTTCAATGAGGTGTTGTGGAAGGCTCAAGCATAAAGATCTTTCATTACTGAATGCAGGTGAGAGTCATGTCCAGTTGTATACTGTACTTAAAAAATATTTGTATATACTTATATATTTTTTTGATAATTCTTCATCCTGTAACATCATCAATGAATAACCAGGAGAAAGTTAGGACAGTAAAGTACTCCAAATGGTTACTCAAACTTGATACCCTGTGCAAGTGGAAGTTCTTTGGTGTAGTTGATGGTACAAGTTGAGCGGCGCATGTACTGTTTCCAAGAGTCTGAACCAGATTCTCGGCCTCCGCCAGTGTGCTTCTCGCCTCCAAAAGCACCGCCAATTTCAGCACCATTAGTAGGGATGTTAATATTGATGATACCACAGTCAGAACCCTTAGGGCCGAGCCACTGTTGAAAGAAGTAGAAGTAGTAAATTAGTATTATGAATAGCTTTGCTAAAGGGACCAGAACCCACTAAGGACCTTTACATATTTTTAAGAAGCAAGAATACATATCTGGTCAAAAATGTGGTCTCCACTAACAGGAGAGAATAAGCTTTATCAATGCATACAAAACTTACTCAGTAAACCCTCGGAATAACAGACTAATTGGGGAAAGACCATAGTTGTTAAAGCCAAAAATCCATTAAAACCGATTGACAAATAAATTTTTGAACTAAAGGAGGGAAATTGGGGTTTGAAATACTGTATCACATATTTCAAAATAGGAGATTTTATTATTTAATGCAATATTGTATAAATTTTAAATACATTCCTAGTAATGAAATGTTTTAGTTTAATCCTTCATAAATCCTTAAGGTGTGTTCTTAAAATGTATGATTATTGAAAAACGAACAACTTTAATATATTTTGCCCATAAATACACACACACTAACCTCTGTTCAGATCTTAAGACACCCCTAAAAGTAGTTTAACTGTACACTGCAACATTAAAACTTAAAATTGACCCAACAAATGGAGATATTTTGGGGACTTGAATGGAGCTGTGTCTCTGAGGAGACACTACTGCCAGGCACATGAGAGCTCCCAGCAACACCAGCTGCTCTTTAACTTGCTGAGCACAGCCGTACTGAGAGCCAATGCCGTGCCGTGGTGCCAGGAGTGTACGAGTGAGAAAAATTACCGTTTTTCTTCACAAATGTTAAAACCCTAAATTGCTAAAAAAAGTATTCATATGGCATATAAAAACTTGGAGTGTGTTAACTCTAGGCTAAAAATTAGTCATGTTCAGTGTTCTTAAGTAGCTTGACTCGGAAATCCTTCCTATTCTCTGGGATATTCCACTCTGCAATACAAATCCCAACCAATCCAGAATTTATGCCAAACCGGACAGGCCATCCCCCCAAATAGTCCGGAGTAGAGTGAGTTTACTGTACGCTTATTATTGGTGTATAATCATTGTGTCCACAAAAAGTTTAATTGAAAACATGTCTTGGGGGTTTTAAGACTTTGGGGATTTTTTTCAAAGGAATGTATCTCAGTTTTCATGATGGGAGTCTATGGAAAAATTTACTTGATTTTATTAAAGTTTTTCAGCAACAGAACCCTTTCATAAACAGGAGTCTACCTGTAATGCAGTAATCAAAAGCCAAGGAATTAGTCAATATAATAGATTAAATATCATAGCATAACAAAACTGCAGTGCACAATTACAAACAAATAACACATACCTTGAATACATTGCCAAGATTTTGAGTGAAGAGAGAGGAGGAAAGGCCTTGCTTTACTTCATTGTTCCACCTTATACCTTCATCAACTGATGAACACTTGAGAATGTACACAATGGGGGCAAAAGTTTCTCGGTGGATAACAGGCGAGTTGTGAGGCAAACCAGTAATAATAGTTGGCTCTACGTAGAAGCCCTCACGATCAATAACTTTGCCACCATACATAATTTTGCCTGGAAAAAAAAAAGAGCTGGTTAATTTCTGTATTTACAAATAAGATGACATCAAACTTATAGTCCTAAGATAAATGGACCTTCAATAAACCTAATTTATGTCACTTAAAGAAGATAGCCAAAACAGTTCTCTGAGTGTTATGTTCACCATATACAGTGGAGTCAATATAATTCAAGGGTTAAGTACCAGAAAACATCGTGAAGTATCAAATCGCGAATTAGTAATATCTCCTTTAGCCGGAATTGAAATTTGCTCGGACTTTTTCAGGAGGTTGAAAATGAGCCACCTTTTCTGGAAAATTCAGAGAAAATTTCCAGATAACTACATCCTTTGTATCTGATATAATCCATTTGGGGATCGCGAGCAGAACAAATTCTGAGATAGAAATAATGTGTAATTTTGGTGGGGGACCTTTTTCTGGGGTGGGGGACCTTTTCTGGGTTTGAAGTCGTCGTCTCGTTACCTGGAAATCTCTCATTTCCAGACGAGTTCTGCACCAATTGTTTCAGCTAACGAGGATAATGCTGTATACTTTAAATAATTTGAACGGAAATAATTAGTTTTGTTCCAAAGGCCACGAAACTCATAAACTGGTCCAAAACTGATATAATAAACATTAATACATAAAATCCTACAGTACCAGTAACACACAGATATTGCACAAAATGTATCTCTATTACAAAAACAGCTCCTTTCCTTCTCACAATTTTCTGTGGAATACACCAACATGGAGTCAGGCAGGCAACAGGTTAGCTGTGACCACACATGTCAACAGAGAACCAGGAACTTAATACCACACAATAATTCATCTAGGGTTTGAGTTCGAGATTTTTTTTTAATATCGTTTACTTTACGATAATGTTTTAGTAACCCAAAACCAAATGAACCTACTAAATAATATGGTACAGTGGGGTATGCTATAACGAACGGATCCTACTACGAATATTCCTATAACGAACGGTTTTACCTATAAAATTGAGAATGCTATAACGAACGAAACTCCTACAACGAACATTATTTAATTTTTTTTTTTAATTTATTGTTTTTTTATTACAAGTATTAATGATACTCTTTATTTCAGGGGTTTAGATGCATATTTATGCACTTTTTTACAATTTTTACAATTTTATATTATATTTTTCAGTGTTAAGTGGTTGTATTTGGGGGCCTGGAACGGATTAATCCTATAACGAACGAACGCTATAACGAACAAGGTTCTAGAACCAATTAGATTCGTTATAGCATACCCCACTGTAATTACGATGAAATTGCATAATGTTGTACAGTATTTTCTTTCTTTGTAAGTCACATTGGAGCACTGAAGTGATATTCATATTTTTTCTTTACCGTATTTTCAAGACAAATTAGAGCAATGAAAAGATATTTCCACAACTTTCATGGTTTCTTATGTAAACACGCAGTTGGCTTCCACAGTCAATTAAGAATATAGGTGGTAGTAGTAGAGGTAACAGTGAATTTAAGAACACGAATTACTGTATTATGACTACTGTACATCTGAAGACTGATTTTGTTTGAGAATAGACACAGCATAACATTATATTCATGAATTCCAAACAATCATTCAATCATTTGGATACCATACAAGTATACTGTAATGCAAAACTAGATAAAAGACAAAACCCAATGATTGCCTTTATCTCACCATGCAACAAGGGAACAAACAGCTTCAACACTAATCTTTCTCTCACACACACACACACACATGAAAGCACCATACTAAAAACTCTTACTAACACATGTGATACTACACCCTCTTCTAAACCACTTTCATTCTTACAAGCCTTTCCCAACAGTGTAGTGGCTGAAATCAAGAGCAAATATTTACAGTACTCTCTTTTCACTTGCCATCATTTAATTACCCTCAGGAATGTGACATCTCCGTAACCTCTCAACGTGATTCTCGCTTGTCATTCGCGTACAGTACATTGTTTCCTGGATCTTCATCCACCTCATTTCCAGTTCTTTCTATCTCCTCTTGGTCCTCCCCTCACCCTTACACCATGAATCTCCGAGTTAAGACACACTCTTACCCATCTTTCCTTCTTTTAACACTCAACAAACCCTGGTCACCTCTATCTGACTATTTTATTTCCATATTTCTGCCTAATTTCTGTTTTCTAATTTCCTGCATCCTATTCAGTGAATGGAAAAAGCCACAGGAATTAAGTCACATTTAATATTATCATCATTAAAAAGTTATGTTGGGTTGGGTTGGGTTGGGTTTTGAATATTCTCTTGACCACTAAAAAAAAAAGTGAAATGAAAAGCTAACTAAATGGACTTTCCTCCTGTGACTTATTCTCCCATTCACTCTCTTGCATCAAGAGGTAAAGCTTCCCTCTCATCCAAAAATGAAAGCTCAATAATTCTTCTACACAGTTCCAACTTTGTGTCCTTTAGACACAGTTTGCTCTCCACAAAGTTATGTAACTATTACAGTAAACCGTTTAAATAAATATATATTCTGATTCTGTATCTGATTGATGCTGTGACATAACCGATTGTATTACTCATGGACATTAATATTGTACTATGGACAAAAAGCTGGGTTAGATTCCTGTAAATATCACAATATTATACAGTATTGTACCAGGTTATTTAATATTTTATTAGAATGAGTGAACCATGTTATACTGTACTCTACTCACCTCTAAGAAAACAGTTTCTTTTAACACTAAATTTTCAAGGAAAGCATAAAGGGTATCCCTGTATTTCATAATTAATAGTCTTAAGGTATTTTCAGAGAAACACAATGGGTAAAGTGTGGGTGAGGGGTTGGGGAGGTCTAGTTACTGTTTTGAAAGCTCTTATCAAATCTTGGCTATGACCTTGATTTAATAACCCATATAATCTGATGAACAACAGTAGAAAGAGCATTAAGATGCATATCTAAGACGACATTGTGATATTAAAGCTGTATACCCGACAGATTACAGCAAGAAATGCTGAAAATTAAGGAATCTCTTATTAAATGTTTTCATAAAAATAAAATTTGAGACATACCTCCAAGAGACTGTGCTTCCTTAATGGTTGCCAAGTATCCATCAATTCCTTGCTGTGAATGCATGGGTCCATACAATACACCATCATCAAGAGGGTCTCCAATGCGAGGCATAAAACTACTATAAGCCTTAACTAAACGCTCTAGCACGGAGTCATGCAGCTGGAAAGACAAATTTGATGAAGTTTTAGGCAAATCAGTTATTCTGGAGATTTTAAAAATACTTGTACTCACTCAACTCCCAGCTCTTCCCTATTATGATGTTCTGTTCTTAAGACTGCCATATTCCAAAAATATGAATTTTAGTTCCTAACTAAATGTTCTTTGGCTCGGTGGTTCCCAAACTTTTCAAAATCACGAACCAATAGAGTGAAAAAAATATTGCGGGCTGGTGACTAAACATTTTAATTTACAATTTATTGTCCATATGGAAACTGACCCTTTGTATATAGTGAGATTGGGATTGATACTTCCTGCAGAATATAATTTTTGCCTTACAGTACACTATTCTGTAAATTACAATGGGGGAAAAATGTTGGTCTGGGACTGAAGACCCAAAAACACACCCAAAAATGTCAAGACATTTTTTCAGTAAACATTGGTAGTAGCTCAACACCGTACTATGTACAAGTGCCTAGAGTACTAATATATTCTTGTATTTTAATCACCTTTATGCAGCATCATAGACAATTATAGTTAAAAAAAAAAGATAAATTGAGATAAACTAAAGTGGAAGACAAGATAATCTACCCCCCCCTCCCGACAGAGTTAAGACTAAATCACCATCCCCCAAGCCATCCAGGAGTCAACTGCCAATAACCCAAGATTAAATATAAATTAATTTTTAGCAGGTAACTGGGCACAAAGTTTAAGAGAATTATGAACAAAATACTGTGAGACGCTAAAAAAATACATTGGACCGGTAAATCTTGCGGCCGTCACCGCTCTGTGGATCATAGATTGGGAACCACTGCAGAGTGCTGCAGTCCTAAGTAACTTGGGCACTCCTCACTTGTACATCATGAGGAGTATTCAGTAATTTAGAAATTGTTATACAAAATGTGATAATACTTGTACATATAGTGAGGATTGCCTGTACAGTACTGGCTTTTTCAAGGAAAACCCCTAATATAAATGAAGCCCCAAATCTTCTGTACTGTATAAAGGAAGTAAAACAAGCATGGCATGGATGGTAAAAATGGATAGAAGAGTAAAAGCTCCTGAAGCAATTCCTTTCTATACAAAACAAAAGGTTTCTAACTCACTGTCTCGTGTAGGATCAGTCTACGTGTGGTTGTACACCTCTGTCCAGCAGTACCAACACACGCAAACAATGCTGCTCTTACAACCATCTCTGGGTCAGCATCCTCATCCACAATAATGGCATTGTTACCACCAAGTTCAAGCAAATGTCGTCCAAAACGCTCTTGTGTCATCAGTGCCACCTGTAGAAAACAATTACAATAATTAGGTTCTCCCACTGGTTATCAGCAAAGAAGGAAGATCATGCGTGTCAAGAAAAGAATTGGTATGAGCCAACAAACTTTACAGCAGATTCCAAAATAAGCAATCAACTGGAGCATCTATCAACTGTTGTGTCTGTGGAGGCTATACAGTATGCAAATGATAAAAAAAAAAAATTAGGAAACTAACTATTGTTTTGTACCTAGGTGTTGCTTATTCCAATCTACGTATATGACTCACATAATGCACACAACCATGGTATGTTGAGCATTAAACACAGTAAATGAGGGACAGTAGGGTATGGGGCACTTACACATGCACACAACTGTACAAAACAGTCTTGAATGATTAATATTTTTTTTCCCAGTTATACAAACCAAGAAGCTTAACAGTGGAATAGAGGTTGATGTGGAAGGGTGGAGGACTGGAGGTGGGTTTGATGTAGGGTGGTGAAGAGAAATGAAGGAAGAATAATGGAAAAGTGGAAAAGAAAAATGGAAGAGGAGGAATGGTGGAAGATATGGGGTAAAAGAAGTGGAGCAGGAGGAAGAACGGTGGAGGGTAAGTGAATACAAAAATACTGTACTTTATTCCCAAAATATAAGGAGCAAGCAAAGAAGCTGGAATCCATAAAGATTGATCACATTGTCCAGATTGTTACCAATGGCAACACAGACTGCAGAGGACATACATGTTACACAGAGGGTGAAGAACATTTCAGATTTTGCTTAATTGGCAATCAACACTTAAGAACCCTGCCTAGGAGCTACAGTTGTGCTGGTACAGATTTCTGGAATTAAGTTTCATCATATCAGTCAAGTCTACTGGGAACTATCAAATTGTTGACTTGAATCACCTGATACATTGTGACATTCATAAAAAACTCTGGAGAGCACTCGAGAATTTTCTGCTTCCCTCCATAAATCTTCAGTACCTTCCACATCACTTTCCTACAAACTTAACCATTTGCTTTTACACATCAACATACTTTTTTTCCAGAAAATTTTCACTCCTGCTCATTAACATAAGCACTTGACCAATTTACAAACATTCTATTATGGTGTGTCCTTCCCAAACAAGGCCCTAAGATATTAATTTTCACTATCATTCCCATACACAGGTCAGCTTCATCATCCCAAGCAACTGTCCCCACAAAATACCCCAAAAAAAAAAGTCTGAAAACTACTGTAAATTAACCCTTAGGCTCCAGGTGACGTTCCAGAACGCCCGACTGGTACACCTCGGGTTCCAGATCGCGCGCCTTTTCCCGCCATGTTTAAATCCCAGTGTGGGTTATCGGATTCCCGTGTGACTATTTGCCTTTCACGCCACACCTCGGCCACAGGGAAGCTTCCTGAACATAATTATCTACTTTTGTTTGTTTCATTTTAATTTTTTGTCCATTTTAGTTGTATCAAAGTAATATTGCTAAAGTAGTGTACTGTAGTTGTATTGTTGTGTTGGCGACAGACTGCTGTGTGTCGCCAAGCACTTTTTATGAAAAATAATGCAAACAAATAAATTTTAAATTAATTATTTATAGGAGATAAGTATTATCAGCAGTAAACATATGCATTAGTGGCCATCTCCGACACAGAGACAAGCTAAAAATAGCCCTCTTATCACCCTCCCTCTTACATGCAGTCAGAGGGAAGCTTCTTGGTAAATAACTTCTTTTGTTTGTTTATTTTCATTGTTTGTCTATTTTATCATGTTGTATCCAAGTAATATTGCTAAAAGTTGTGGTTTTATTTTAGTTAAGTATTACTAGATTCTAATGCTATGATTATGTTATTAATGTATTTATTTGTGGAATTATTATTCCAATAACTATTTGTATTACCTACATGCTCTCCCAAACAAAGCCTGATGACTGACTGTGTGTGTGTGTGTGTGTGTGTGTGTGTGTGTGTGTGTGTGTTGCTGAGAACTTCTTATGAAGAGTAATGCAAATAAAATAAATTCTAAATGAATTATTTATAAGAAATAAGTATTATGATCAGTAAATAAATGCATTATTGGCCAACTTGGACACAAAGGCAAGTGGGAAAATGACCCCCTAAGTGCGTAATGACGACAAGCACTCGATGTAGAAAAAAAAAAAAAAAAAATTCCCCTTATCCGTCTCGTCACTGAGGCGCCACAGAAGAATAGAGACAATGTATAGTTTTTCTTGTCTTTTTTATCATTTATAAAGGTCAAAATTTTTTGGAAAAGTTGATTTTTCTCGTTTTACCCCGGCCAGCGGCACTCTAGCCCGGGGCGTAAGGGTTAAGCAGATCTAAATTCACAAAACAAAACTCATTCTATTACTAACCTGTTTACCAACTTTTGTGGACCCAGTAAAGGAGACCAAAGGGATCCTCTCATCCTTTGCGATGGATGTGCCAACATCTGCTCCACCACAGCACAAAGAAGACACTGCGCCAGGAAGGTTGTTCTTCTCTAGTACAGATGCAACTATCTTGGTTGTGGCCACTGACACTAAAGGTGTGCTTGGGGCACCCTTCCACAGCAATGTATCTCCACAGACCTTTTGAAACATTCACAGCATTGATATGTGCCTTTTTAAGGTGGTATAGTATGTCAAACTGCAGTGTGGTGACAAGAAATGTACACCATAGTACTAGAAATTTATCTGAACATGGTCATATGAATTCAGTTTATGAACAAAAAAATGAGCTAAAAAAGACCATTTATATCTAGACTAACACGAACATTTTATTAAGCATCAATAAAACTCACCATGGCAACAGCACTATTCCATCCATACACAGCAACAGGGAAGTTGAAAGCAGTTATAACACCCACAACACCAAGAGGATTCCAATTTTCCATAAGGACATGTCCTGGTCGTTCAGAGGGCAACACTGAGCCACCCACCATACGAGATAAACCCACAGCAAAGTCACAAATGTCGACATATTCTTGCACCTCTCCAATACCCTCGGGTTTTATTTTACCTGAAATTGTTTCAATTGTTAGAAAATAAAGGTATCATTCATAGTGTTCCAGTGTACACCTATAACTAATTCAGATTGTTAAGCTGTAGGAAATAACATATAACTTCGCCATCACACATGGTAGAAGAGCACATTTATTTCTCGACCAGCTATCTGTGTACAGTATATGTACCGCAGCAAATCGGTGTCACAAGATACTAAATGCAAGTACTGTAGTGTTTTGCTGTACATCAGTGAATCACCCAATGTTTATTATATATTTTTAAAAAATATATTAAAAAATTTGTAAGTATAATTTCAATATTTTTGTGTACCAACTTACCCATCTCCAAAGCCACTAGTTTACCAAGTGGTTCCAATTTTTCACGTAAAGCCTCACCAATCTGCCTGACAATCTCACCTCTTGCCGGTGCTGGCATATCTGCCCAAACCTGTAAAATTCAATTCATACATTAATAGATAAATATAATATGCCCAAAAAATTTTAATGGCAGGTGATCAATCTGTGTAAATTATTATTATCTACTGGTAAGTCACTGAGGGTAAGGCTGATGACCTATCAAGTAAGTCTATAAGAAAGTGATAGATGACCAAGAGAAGGAATTAAAGAGAAGTCTTTGGAATCTAGCTGTGTGGTACAGTGCATTTTTCTCAGCTGAGAAAAGATGCCCCACCCCCTCCCCAAGAGTTACAGCTGATTGGCTGTTCCAAACCTGTCCGATTTTGTCCTGAAGTAATGATTTATTTCTAAAGGAGTTTATTCATAATCGTTGGGATGACCGTTTCTGACGAGAAAAATATTTAGCTAAATTATATAGATACATACATTCATTATTTCAAATTTAAGCACGTAGGAAGTTTATGAGAAGTATTAGTTGTCTAAATTGATGAATTTGGTGACTTGCCAAACTGGCAGGGTATCAAAGTAATTCATGAAGGATGTAACAAAAATATGAGAAAAATGATGGATGCCATACATAGGTACTAGCAACACTATCAATCACAGTTAGGAATTTGTGAGTCTAGCCAATAGTACAGTACAGTACATGTAAATTATTGGTAAATTCAATGAAGTGGGTCGAGTCAGCAAGGCAAAATGACCAATGAGAAGGCAGAGTTCCGAGGCATTCAGCAAGGTGAGTGACCCGAGTTGTATATAAGGTCACGTCTGTGTCTTTTGTATTTACACTCTGAAGAAGACCCTATGCAGTAAAAACATTAGAGCAGTAAACAACTCCTACTGCCTTCTGGGCTTCTTTCCAACACCTATATACATGTGTGTGTATTCTTCATTTAGCATTAATTCACTTGAGAGAAAAGTTTAAGACAGCAATTCTCGCTTAATGCTAAGTAAAAATTTGGTTTAACAATAAGTTTGACCCACTGAGAAGAGGAAAACCAGGGATACTGTGCTCCAATTGCACATCTCTACTGTCACTTGACTACATTTACTCTACTCTGACATGGACTTGGTGAGTATCACTTTACTGTCATGTACAGTACTGTATTTTATCATTATAGCAAATTATCGTTAAATGCAGTACAGTGCATAGTATTCAGGAAAAAAATTTCCCCAAGACCAAATCTCCAAGTAACATATATTTATCCCTCACTTAGTGATAATTTCACTTAATGTTAGGTTTTAAAGAACACAATCCCATCATTACAGAAAGGATACCTGTGCATATACAGTACAGTATTTAATAAATTTGGCAGAGTGGTGGCAGGCCCACAAGCACCACTGGTTACATAAAAAAACATGTCCATTCTCAGGTACAGGCACAAACAGTACTACAGAGTAAGTATGGAGGTGGAGGAGTATCACACTGCTGGATTCATTGACTATTTAAAGTTTTTAAAATGTTTCTACTGTAAAAATTCATGCAGAATGAAATGACACCATTCTTTATGATTTCTCACTAAAATCAATTCTCAATTATATCATTACAGTATTAATATCTTTTTTAAGATGGTATTGACTAATAGTCAGATACAAGCAACAACTGTCTGTTAATTGTTTTTAATATACAGTAATACAAACAGTAGTAAGAATAATATAGAATTACAGTACTCGTGGAAAGGTACCGAGTGTGAATAGTGTACAGAAATATTTATATAGCAATATTTTAAACAAGTATTGTATACAAAAACATACATTTGCCAACAGAAGGCTGCAGACAACAAACCTCTGCATAACTTACCTGCCATGCTTCCTGTCCAGCTTTAATACATGCATCAAGGTCCTCTACTGTGCCCTGTTGAACTTGTGCAATGGGGCGCTTATTGGCAGGGCACATAGACGTCACAACCTGATGATCAAATTAGACTCAATACCATGTGACGAATACAATTAACAAAAAGTTTTTATAATAAATTTCATACAGAGACTTAAACAGAAAAGCCTCTTAAGTTTACACACCCTTAGTAAACTTGGTAACTTAGGAATAATAGACATTGTAACCATGAACTCGAAATATTAAGTACAGAATGTGCAGTACTATATATTACTGTACAGGACTTGTGTACAGACCCAAATATCAGAATATCATTCATTACATTAAAACAATATCTGGATGAGAGTCAGAAATATCAAGGGAAGAGTTGCCTGGCCACATTCCCCTCAACCAGTTTTCTGTTACATAAGTACTGTACCAAACAATATTTCGTTGCAATTTAGACTTAATTATCTGAAAATGAATGTCTGCAAGATTCTCGTAATATACTTCTTTTGAGATAATACTAAATATCTCCATTAAATATTAATCGTCTAAATGATATAAAAAGGGCCATGTGACTATACCACCGTGAGTGAGGCACCCATGAAGTAATTTATTAAAGAATAAAAAGGATAAGAAAAATGTTTATCATCCTATAGCTGGGAAAAATTTAATAAAGTATAGAATGAACTTCGAACACAATACGAACCAAAATGATCTGAGGGGAATGACAAACACCAATAACAACCAAATCCCTGGCTGGCTGAGGATGGTGGGACCAGCCCTGGTCTCAGCCAATCAGCGCCCAGTTTGGCAATCACCCAGCCTATCACGGGCGAGCACTACTGTTACTAAGCCCTCAGTTAATAACTCGAACCTTTTTTTATGATTTCCAACATGACAATCTTCACAATTTGCAATCTTACATCATTAGTATAAATCCTAATTAAACATAATAATCTGTTTCTTATAATAACTATTTAACGAGGTGATAATACTGTTTAACTATGAATGGTGCCATTAACCGGCTCACCCACTTGCTATTTTTAACTCCACTATTACGAGTAACAACACCATGTCACTAACTAGGGACGCCAGCACTTACCATCATTACATCACACGTCTATCAGTAGTAGTCAACTATTTTATCCTTAATATTATTACAATCTTTAACAATTTTGTTTTTATATGTGACTGATATCAACTATGCAATGAAGTTTTCTAATTAATACACAGACAACTATACAAATATCCACACTACTAATGAAATAAACTTCATTGTTGCCCCCAATCCACTGCCAACCACACCCGGTATGTCATTCACTACAGAAGATTTTTTTTAAGCTTAATTTATATGGTTTCTCACCTCTCCTCTGCCAAACCACTTGCCGTTGAAGACACCCTTGTTGCTCTCAGCTAATCCTAACTCCTTCAGGAAAGCGTACTTGGGTTCATTGATAAGATACCCGGAGGAAGACATGGCTCTGATGATGAACAGTGGCGTGCGTGTTGTGTGGGTGAGGACACGGGCCAGTAGAGGTGCCATGGTCGAGTGTGTGGCCTCGTCTGCCTCCTACTCCCGCCGCCTCCCTACACCTTCCCCACAACTCCTAAATTCTCCCCCACTGTGTGAAAAATTCCCTAGATTCGTCATCCAATGATTTGGTAATAATTGTAGAGAGTAATGTGTTGACAAACCCAGAACTTTAGAGCATGCTCGTATAATTACACATAGTTTAATATTAATAAATAGGAACAAATGTTTAATTATTCAGTTTAAATCATGTAGCCCGCATATACATTTTTCCCTTACCAAGAAATTTTGGTTTATGGTTAGGGAAATTTGTTAACTTGGCTAGATTATATACATAATTATACATATATATTTATATTGCAATTCTTGGCAAAAGTAATCAATGATGATTTAAATTACAACATTTATAAATATAAATTATATAGTTCAAATGTTTTACTTTTATTTGTAGAAAAATAATAGTTAAAATAAAAAGTTGAGCTTAGATATATACTGTATGTATATATCACTTATACGATTGTAAGAAGTTTCTTTGAATTACTATTCATAATTTACGATATTTTTCTATACTAAATTATATATAATGTAAAATAAAAAGTATAGATGCAATAATATAGTAATGTTGACCAAGTGGACATAATGGCACCAGGAACACGAGGGCGAGGTAGCGTGTTGAGGCAGCCCTTACTGTTCCTTCTTGACCTATTGTATTAGACGTCACTTTTATTTTAATTGGTAAGTACTTTGCTAGTTTTATGGATTGTGTGTAGTAGCTAATACTTTGTGTGTGGAGTGCCACGAGGTACACTGGGCCAGGAATAGTACATATGGGATGTGTAAGGTCACTCGGGTTGATCCTGGAATAACTAAGACCAATATTGAGATGGATAATAAAGTTATGAGGAGTATTTAGATAACCATTATAAACAAGCCATACACTTTAACTGGTCAAGGTCAATTTATACGGTAGTAGAGGACAGATTCAGGTTTTTTTGTATCAATAACCAGACAAAACTAAGACGGTTTTATTCTGTGACACGATGTATTTTACTGATAACCAAGATACCAGTAATACTGATTTCCTTCATTTTTTCCACATGTTCTTTGGATGGTAGTAAGTAATAAAAATGATATGACAGGCACAGAACCTAATAAAACCTGGGTTAATATTGATGATATATCCATCGCCTAATAATTTGTTTTGATGAATCTTTTTCTTACAATACTTTGATTGTTGAGTTTGGATATGATATTCATTTCTCGGGCAAATGCTTCATTTAGTATATATATATATATTAGGCCCCTAGGCTCCCATTAGCAGCACTAGTACTTCACTCAGTCACTTAGTGTATGGGGTGTCAAGATTCATTTTAACGTCCCCGCCAGCTTCTATAGAAAGAGTTACAGGTAATATTTTGTTATTTGGATTTAGATATAGGTTAAGTTACCTTTCAACTTTCTTAGTCATTATTTGGGAGGTAATGTTGAAAGATAACACTTCAGCTGCTTGTTTGGGTAATACAGTATACGAGACGTTTCCGTCAGCGGTTCAGTAATTATGGGGGTTGTTTTTAGACACAGTTTGGTATGCTGATTATTTTCAGTTCCATTCATTTTCTTGTGTAAATGCTTAGTTTTCTAGATACTATAGGTGAATTGAGACAGTAATACTTACAGTCCCGTCATCAGCTGTGATGTGGCAGATATAAACAATGACAGTCAATCACATTCAAGTATTTCAAAGGATGAGCAGCACAACAATCCCAGTGATCTTTTATATCCAATCACATTTGATAAGAGTTTGGTCCTTCATATTAAGTTAAATCTCATAATTTGTAAGGGTTAGAGCCTCTTATTATTTTGAATTATGGGGCTTTACTGTAGTATAAACTGAAAAAAGCTACATGTGAGTGAGTAAGTCATTTTCTTAATTTTTTCTCAATCTGCACTTTGAACTAATCTTACATAAAACTGAATAAAATAAGACTAGTTTCCATAATAAGTTTGTACATACAGACAATACAGAAATTAACAAAATAAAGAAATATGGTAAGTAAGTGCTTCCTGCTAATGTTATTGCTGATCGTGCTTGCACATCAGTGTTTGCTGTGTCTCCCACCCTCCTTACTCCTCACTTGTCATCCTCCGCTCATGGTGCAACCTCTCGCGAGCCCAAACCCCACCGAATTCACCAGGGCCAAACTAAGTTTGGTTATGGACTCATATTTGGTTCCCACTCTTCTGGCGGGTTGACAGGTGAATCACTCTACCGAAGTTATGGGTTAAATAGTAGCTGACCAGACCTAAGTGACTCCCCATATGCATTTATAGTGTAATCATTATATATATAATATATATATATATATATATATATATAATTTTCCTCCATTTTAACCGTGCAAAAATCATATCATGTCACTTGTGTTGCCATTATGTATCAAGATTGTCACATGGATAATAATGGTTGCCCCTCATGTAACGAGGATGTCCAGCCCAAGGGCCACCTAGGCAAGAATTTGTTTAAGGTGAAGAAGCTGTTGCCAACACAACAACCACACCCTAAGTTAACGAGCTGCATGACCCAGTGTCAAGGAATAGTCCCAGAAGACCGGACAACTCATCAACTGCACTGGCTAACCATTACCCCGGAACACGATCCGCAAATCAATTAACATCCGGTTTCCCAATTACTGCTGGGTAGACAGAGGCAAATGGCGTAAAGAAACTTGCCCATAGTTTCACCTTGCGCGCAGATCGAACCCGGGTCCGCACGCTTGCAAGGTGACCATGTTGACCATTACACCACAGTACTGTATGGAAAGAACCTACTTTCTATTAGTTAATAATGTATTAATATTACAACTACTATTATTATTATCTGTTCTCATGTAAATTTTTTTATTGTTTTGTTACAGGTTCAGCCTCACAACAGATACAAGATGTCACACTATAACTTTAAAAAGATCACCACCGTCCCATCGGCAAAGGTATGTTACAGTTTGATTTGTAGATCATTTATTCCTATACACTATAGTTACCCGCCAACTGATATCACCTTTACTGAAATTTGAATTTAAGGACAAATTAGGAAAAGGTTAGTTTACACCATGTTTTGTTTTGCCCTTGTCTGGTGAATACAGTACTCTACTGTATAAGAAAAGTGTCACGTGTTAGGCTACCATTGATGTTTGACGGAACACATAAACTACTGGTTTAATAAAGCCATATTTCTGATAGAACCAACATTGCACCTCTTGCTGGATATATCAGACATACTCCAAAATATCAGATGATAAGTTTTAAGCCAACTGATTGATGCTGGACCTTCACTGGATGTGCAGTATTTATCAGTGCAATATGTCATGTTTCACACTAACTGAAGCATTTGGTTTCAATTTTTTTCTGTACTGTGTAGTGCAGGAGGAAACTTGAGTATCCAGAGAAAACAGGCAATGTTTGGTAGGGTCACACTTCTCATGCAGGTTACCGGCTTACCGCTGTACCACCTAACCTAACAACCACTTCTTCCCTCAAGGCCACAGTGACCATGCGATCTTGGTGATTCACTAACAGGTCATACGGGCCTTGACTGGAAGCTTAGCTCAGTAAGGTACCACCACAGAGAGTTTTGGTGCATTTGTTTTGATTCTTCGCTAGACCAATCACTGTGTCCGGAAAAAATCACTGAAGGAATATTAACCAATCACAAATTAGCCATGCTAGCAGATGACGCACAAACAGTCACACGTGAAAAGAACAATGGATTGACAGGTTTAATTGTTTTCAATTGTAGTTTATTATTTATCATTAGAGATTGTTTATCTAATGTTTTATTATTAATAGTGTATATTTTTATTATTGAAGAGGGTGAAGTATATACAGTATGTCTTCCCTGTTAATGATACAATAAATTATTAATACATCGGTTAATGGTTGTGTTAGGCCGTGTGGTGGTGCCTTTATTTAAATAATGTATGTGTAGTCTATGGCACCAAATACATTAGGATATCCTTTTATTCTGTGACATTTCCACTTCGTTTCTGGAACTGAATTCACTCCTTGGCAATTTTTATTTCTACTCTTGCTTATCTGTAGAGAGCAATATTGTCACTTTATTATAATTCTAGACTTAGTTCATTGGCTTCAGGCAGTAACATCACCAACTGCATTCTAGAAACTACCACTTGTGAAAAACCTCAAGTTATGAACATAGACATATGCATTGGGACCCCCTAGTTGGCTAATAAGCAGCAGTGTGTTATGAGTCACCAGAAGGAGGAATATCAAAATAAAGCCTCCATATCTTTCAACATCCTGTGTCCTCTCAGAAAACTTGAGGCATGAGAGAAGTCATCTACATTTTACTGAGATTTGCCATTTACCAGAAAATTTTAAGACTTGAGTAAGGAAGACCATAGGGAAAGGTTGAGACACTTTTTCTTGAAAGTAACTTATGGGGAACTTAGTTATGAAGCCTACAATTGGGAAAGTGAAATTTGCAAGAATTAATATCAATACCCGTACTGTACGATGGTTGTGTTTTCACCCGTACTTTTCTTTCTTGGTAATTATTTTATAGTTCAGTACTGTACAGTAATTATCAATGCAGGTACAATCATTTGCCACTTCATTAAACCATTTGTAACCATCACTTTGTCCTTGCATCCAACCTTCTGATTTAATATATGAACCTGTATTATGACTTGATCATAACAACATTTTATCATATGCTGTATTGTAATTGCCATTTATATTTTCAGGACTTTGTGGACATCATACTGTCCAAGACACAGCGCAAGACCCCGACAGTTGTCCACAAACAGTTCAAGATATCACGTATACGTCGTTTCTACATGACCAAAGTCAAATATACACAGCAGAATTTCCATGATAAGTTAACTGCCATTATCACGGAGTTTCCAAAATTAGAGGTAAGACTTGTTTGCATTTCATTGATTTACCAATTATTATATGGTTGAGAAATGTTAGTCAATGAATTATCTGGAGTCTGCTGTTAGGTTAGTGTCGATCACATTTTACCACCTGATGCCTGTTCAGGCCGACTAATGTATAACACCTGAGAGTTTGGACTCGGGGAATCCAAAGATTAACCAACTTACACTTTCCCCCAGCTTTTTTTTTTTTTTTTCTCTCTCTCTCTTAAGGATTAGGTTTCCAACCTTCCCTCCTTCCCAGAGTAATTGCATGCTTAGAAATGTGTTGCAATTAATATACAGATAAGAAATATTACTTGATCTTTTGTTTCTTGGAACTTGTATAAGAAAACCTTGTAGTGGACCCTTGTCAAAAATGTGGTTTCATTAATTGCAGGTTAATAAAGACTACGTACAGGAATCTCAAAAAGAATATAAGTAATAGAAAGTCCTCAATATATGGCACCCCTGTACTGTACAGTATATGGAATTTCACACTTAAGGAAATTTTGTTTAGTGCTCGGGTTCATTATGCAGCCAAAAGTTCCGCAGTTACAGAACTTTTAGGGGAAAGGGTAACTGTATCAGATGCCCTGCAAGTAAAAAAAAAACTCAAATTTTATTCAAATTAAATTCCACAGCAAATAAACAAAGAAACACCCTAAGTCAAAATTACCATCAGTACCACCATTACTCTATCACTGCATGACGTCTACCCGTGAGTTTGTTTACAAGAATGAAAGTTGTGTGAACTGTACTTACTGTGTCTGAAGCCCTTAAAGTGGTAATAAAACATTAGATTATTTACTGATATTAACTTGACCATTTGTGTGGTAGATTTAGGAGGGTAAATATTTTTATTGTTGATGTTATAGTGTTTCTACTAACCTTGTTATGCACTTACAGACTTTAGTTGTTGCAAGTGTAGTAACAACAATTGGTTTTCTTTAATCAGTCCAGGTAAGCAGTGTTTACCCCCACCCACTTTTTTTCCCAGACTTTTGCATTTTGTGGATTGGGACCTGCTCTAATAAGTCTGGAGTTTCAATAGTTTTAGGAACACATTGCGATAACCGAGGTATTCCTGTACCTGGCAGTATTAATGTTCACTGCTGCACTTTGTTGATTTAATTTTCTGTGATGTTATAAGTGTTTAAATTACTTGACAAGAGGTGAAGCAATTATAGGATTTGTATTTTGTGTGAATTAGTCATTCATAATGTAAAGTTCTCATTTTTCAGGACCTGCATCCTTTTTATGCAGACTTGTTGAATACCCTGTACAACAAAGACCACTACAAGCTTGCACTGGGTCAGATAAATATGGCGAGACATCTTATAGACAAAGTTGCAAGTGACTACAATAAGCTGCTCAAGTATGGTGACTCACTGTACAGATGTAAGCAGTTAAAGAAGAGCGCCTTGGGACGTATGGCAACTATCATGAAGAAACAAGGACCTCCTCTAAAGTATCTTGAGGATGTTAGGCAGCACATTTCAAGGCTTCCTTCTATTGATCCCATTACACGATCACTGCTGTTGTGTGGCTGTCCCAATGCTGGTAAGAAATTATGCCCATGGGGTTCAATTCTTAATTATATGATGTTGGTGGACCATAAAAGTAGTTGTCTGGAATTGTTAAACCATCAGTAGTAATATTTATGCTCTGTATACAGTAAGCCCTCAGTAACTCGGCACATATGGGGCTCTGGCCTTGCCAACGTATCCCAAATTCTGACTTATTGAGGCATTTCCCCCCCTCTTACAAAAATACAACACTTAAAAATTATTGACCCATATATGTGTATACATGTAATAACTAAATGTAAAAAAGTAACACTTAGCAACACTGCAGGTGAAGAATGAAGCATCATATTAGGTGACATAGATGCATGGTAGGTGACACAGAGGCATGGTGGGTGATGCAGGTGGCCAGATATGCCAAAATTTTCCCAGATAATTTTACATATCAGCATTTCCCGAGTTACACCAATACATTCCGAGACCTTATCCATGCCGAGTATATGAAATCTGAGTTATCGAGGGTTTACTGTACTGTTTTCAGGTATGTTAGCATCTTGTTAAGGCTTGGAAAATTATTGATGGTATTGTGCTGTCAGCACTATTGGTTACATAGTTAAAATTATAATAAATTCTAAAATTTTGGTAGATATTGGCTAGACTGATTAAAGGTCACAAGAAATGGAGTGGAGTTCACATTAACAAACTGAAGGACTAAGATTTTTATTGGTGGCAGGGGGTACTGTACTGTGCTGCATATGAAATGAATGATCAAAATATATGAATTAGTACCCTAGTGGGCCCACAAAAGGAAACTGCTTGGGTAAATTTGTTATAATTGAATGAAAACTGTTACAAATTTCCAGATATTTTGCCCTTGTGGAAAATGTATGAATTAGTGAGGTTATACATTAGTGTATAATTTGTTAATATCTTAATTTAAGATATTTCCTATACTGGAATTTTTTTCCAAATTACTTGTAGGTTGAAAATAATTGGTAGACACAAAAGACAGTGAGGTACTGTCTTTTATTTGTTTATTTTCCAGAATTCCTAATTATTTTTTAAATTGTGCATCCTACCTAGATGATCTCTTCTTACTGATCAAGAAATGTTGCTCTTATCTTATTAATTGTGCAGTGGCCCTCAATCCTGACTCATTATAAAAAAGATTATCTGGGTCAATTCCTTTTTGGGGATGATGGTTGTAATAGGAAAATGTGGCGAATTGTTTGATTTCTACCAAAAGTCCTTGTTAAACTCAGCTTGGGTTGTCAACTCACGACTTGATGGGCACAGTACAAGTCACAATTTTGGAAGTGAGGTTGTAAATATTGCTGTCGTGCACATACTGTATGTTACTTCTTCCGTTTGTATCCCAAGTCCATATATCACACTTATATAATAATGTCAGCTCAACATACATCCAATACATTTTTGTCTTTGCATCCATTTACATTCTCTCTCTCTATCTCCATATTTTTTCAGTGGTTTCATTCGTTACTCATCATTCCATCAGCAGAGTTACCTCCTCCCAAATATTTAATTATTCTACTTTTTTTCTTTTCTATTTTTTACAGGAAAATCATCATTTATTAATCTTATAACCCACGCTGATGTAGAGGTCCAACCTTATGCCTTCACTACCAAATCACTATACGTGGGCCACACAGACTATGAGTACCTCAGATGGCAGGTTCGTGGTGTATAATTTCAAGTTTTCTTTGTTGTAAATGTACATTGTATAGTTATAGGCATATCAATTTGATCACTTTCTTTGTTATAGATGTTTTGTATATCATTATTGGTACTGTATATTAATTTGAATCAAGCATTGTACAGCAGCTAATGAGAAGAGCCTCATTATTGCTACATTTTCTTTATTAAATCTGCCACAGTGTATCCATATTTTTAAGTCACAATTTCTTTAAACCATGTGTCGTGTTTACAGAATGTGGTTTTTAAATACTGCTACAGAATATATTAGTTATCTATAATCTGTATCCCAGATTCATTTTCTATTTTGGATAATTTTAATATCACTGGATTGTAAAAGGATAGGATATTCCTTTTAAGATCATAGTAAGAGTACAGAGTTATGTGTCTACCCAAAATTTTGAGTTGAAAAAAAGCAACAGTACATGTATAGCATAACATACTCTTATCCAAACATATGTGCGAGGGTTATGTTCTTGGAAATCGTCAAGAATCGTGAATTCACTTAAACTGGTTTTAATACCTTATTTCAAAACTAGGGTATGGTACCATGACTACCAAGATTATCATTTCAGTCATAATATTTTGGGTTAGAAATGATAAATGTTTCAGAGATGGTGTTGATGTTTATATGAAGTGAGTTTTTGTAATACAAGTTTATAAATTATAACAAAAATACAGGGCCCCCCAAATTCGCGGGGGTTAGGTTCTCAAAATGGCCACGAATCGTCAAATCCGCGAATAACATTTCCTGACCGGTGGGGGGTACATTTTTACTTGTGTACAAAGAAATGTATATTCCCTTTGTGTTTGCCCTTAAGACAATTATTTCTTTTCCCTGTATTGTATTTATATACTATGTATGTGTGTGTGTCTACACACATACACACACATATTTACAATACAGGTAAAGGAAATTAGTCTAGAAGAAATGGCTCCCTGTCCCAGCCGCAAAAATGCCGGCAACTTTAAAACTACCCACAGACATTCTTGGGTACATCCAGGGTGTCATCCATGAATAATAGAGGCCAGCTAAATAAAAATCCGCGAACTTGTGGGCCCCCTGTAATTGTTTTCTCCACATTCAAGTCCGAGTATGTAAATAATACGTAATTTACATAACTCGTATTATTATAGTCTACTCTACTAAAACCGCTTTCTCTAATACAGAATAAAGGAGTAAAAGTTGCATTATTGTAATATGGCTGAGAAATAAAGAAAATACAAAATAAAACTATAAAATAATAAAAAGTGAAGAGACAAGGTGTGGAGGCATTGAACTGTACTGTGTGATTTCACGACATACACACACTTCTCAGAGTTAGTTGTGTGGCATCACCCATGTGATGGTTTGAGTGTGGATGGAGCTATATTTTGTACATAAAATATGTGCTGTTCTATTTTATAATAGGCTATGTATCAATTTTATTGTTTATCATAGCAATTTTTTTATCAAAACAGTTATAGCGCTACTGGTAATAGACATGCGAATGAATGACTTCAGTTGCATTTAGATTGTTGAACTAAATTTAAATTTTTTCTGAACAGGACCAAAGGGAACAAAGTTCAGATACCTAGGTGATTCAAAATAGTTGGAATTTGGATAAGAGGAATTGCACTGTAAATTAAATAAAGTATGATATTGGATTTACTATAAAAGTGGAGACATTCTGCATACAGTGGTCTAGCATGACTGGGGGAGGTTGTTGGGTGTTGCTGGGTCAGTACGATGGGAACCAAATTTTACGAGGGGCTGCTGAATATTATTTCTGGTGCCCTAGATACTCCGTGGTGCAATGAACAGCACCTTATACCCAAAATACTGGGTGGGGTGAGGGAGGGAGGACGTTGCGGTACACGAGAGAACTGACTAACCTTGGAGCGTGTGTGGTAGATGCACATCTGCCAATGGTTGGTCAAAAAATTCCAACAGCCTCATGGATAGCTGAATTTCGATGGCGAATCTTGAATAATGGGGTCGCCAATAATTTTTTTTTTTAGTAAGTGAATTCATAAATATGGAGTTTGCAAATACGGGAGGATAAGTATATAGCTCACAGGTGGGGAATGGTTGGAAATATCCCTGTTCAGCCTGGGAATTACCATTGCTTTTGGTGCTGATTTTAAATAATTTGTTTCAGAACTTAGCCAGTTTTTGGAGCATTCAGGATGCCAGATAATGGTCCCCTACCTGCATATGTTTCAAATTAGAGGATAATTATAGCATAATATTTCTGATAGTAATTTTTGTATATATTGTGTTTGGCAAAACTTTGGAATTTGTTAAATAAACAAGTTTCGTTACACCAGTTGCTAAAGATGTTGCGCTGATTCCATGGTTTATGAGTGTGCAATACAAAGAGGCTCCTTCATACAGCACTTGTAAAACAGTATAAAGAATAATAATAAAGCAGGTATACTTTTAAGATTTCTTCAGTGTTTTTACTTTATTTATTCCAGGTGATTGATACCCCTGGAATATTGGACCGTTCATTTGACGAGATGAACACCATTGAGTTACAGGCCATTACAGCATTAGCTCACATCCGTGCAGCTGTCATCTTCTTTTTAGACATTTCTGAAACATGTGATGTACAGATAGAGCAACAGATGAAAATATTTGAGAGCATAAAACCACTGTTTGCAAATAAGGTAAATTAAAAACTAATACTTTTATTTTTAAGCTATTCTATCTAAAGCACAGTTAGCTGTCCCTCTTAACTATGAGTACTTTTCGTGCAAACACTTTGTTATACAGCTGCCTCTACTGCACCCATGTATTTTACAGACAGGACAGAGTAACCCAAATTATAGATGGGATAATAACCAATTGGATATATTTTGTTGGGAAACAAATATATTGAATATTGAACATTGTCAGTCAAGTTTTTTAGAATTGATCCAGATTTCTATTGATGATTGATGAAATTTATCACATTAATACCTTAATTTGCTGGTTAGTTATTGGTAAAATAATATAAATGTGTAAATTATTCTAATTCAGTAAAAAAAATTCATTGTTTTTGTTTGGCACCTTTTACCCAAATTTTCACTTTCAAAGGAGAGTAATCATCTATACTGGCACTGGATTTACTGATGATTATTTTTTGCAATCTTCAAATGAAATAAAAGATAAATTCTATCAATAATTGTGTTATATTTTCCATTGTTTCAGCCTTTGTTAGTGGCCTGCAACAAGGTAGATGTCATGAACCTGGAGGAACTAGGGGAAAAGTACCCAGAGAAGCGAGAACTAATTGCTTCTCTAGAGCGTGAGGGTATTCCTGTCTTGGAAATGTCTACTCTCACACAGCAGGGGGTTATGGAAGTTAAGAAGGAGGTGAGCATGGCTTTGATACCAACAAAAATTATTATATTTTTAAGTTTTGAAAATGTGCTGTGCTTATAGTTTAATGAACATTGTCAGTTTTTGGTGGTAAGTCTCATTGAATAATTATTGAAGTTGGGGAAGAAATTTAGTTACCTTATTTGTCTAATGGCCCCTCAAACTAGAGGTGGCCATACTGAGGGAAGAAGGCCAGTGGCTTGATTAGGGTCTTTCCATTGATCTTGATATTCTTGTCAAGGGCTGTTTTGAAGCCCAGTGCTGTACTGTTGTCACTTCCACGGCTGGTAGACTGTTCCATAGGCTTATCACCTTCTGTGTAAAGAAGATTTTCTTTTTATTTGATTTGTCCTTCAGGGCATCTTCACGAGCTAGAGGTTTTGTTCCCTCCCCTGTTGGTGGCAAGTGACATCCTTTTCAAGATTTTGAATATCTCTAGTATCTGCACTATTGTATCTTTGTTGAAGAGTTGTTAGTCCTAAGGCTCTCACAGTTGAGATGATAAATTCAGGAATCATCTTAGTTTTACACCAATTTTTAAGGGTATTAAGTCCTGATGATTATTTTCAATAATACTTACCTGATTATGAGGAGGAAAAAAGTTGAATATTTTTGTTAGTGGTACACGGAATGTTCTCGTCCAGCTTGTCTTTAGTATGTATTTAGAACAGTTATAAGTGGTAGGAATATTAGTGTATTTAAACACTAATTTCTACCAGGGCACTAGGATATACATTCTGATAACCATTACTGCAAGCTAAAGGCCCTTCCCTCCTTCATCATTATCCCCCGCCCCCCCTCTCTCACCATTTGTGTGTGTAAGACTGGTTTTCTGAAAAGTGACAATCCTACCCAAGCAGCATACTTCATACTCCATTTTGAATCCAGAACTGACATGTCATTCATAGCTTTTTATTTTTCTCGGAAACAGCCATTGAGAACAAAGCTCAAGTCGGACTTCCTTGACTTTCAGCAAAAGGCAGAGAGTCGAGGCCCCATTTGTTAGAGACATAATGAGGGTAGTCTCTAAGCATTAACCACTGTGTTATTGTACAGTAGGATCTTTAGCTTATACTTTTAATTGAGTTATATTAAATATTACATTTTATTCCAATCCTTCCCAAGTTCAAGGTAGGCTAGGCTAGCCTTAGCCATGTGTATGTGACCAACCTCTTGCACGTATATACCTCAGTCTACATTAATTGTGGTCTTTTAGTGGTTGAAATCTACCTCTCATAACCACCTCATCCAGTAGGATAGACCCAGTCAGAGAGAACTGGAAACAGAATAGGACAGAAGAATATACAGTACAGCTGGACCTCATGGAGGACATTTCTTTTTGGGAACAGATCTTCAGGTTAAAATTACAAGTCAATTTTACTGGAAGAAGAGGCATACTTAACCCAATTAATGTTTACATGTGGCAGGATCTAGCTCTGGTAGTTGACTGTAGACAGAAACCCATTATGTGTCAGAAGTGCCACACTGAAGGTACAATTCAGACCAGTCGCATTAAGTGGGTTAAATAATGTATGCAATAAATATTTATGAGGATTTTAAAATAGATTATGATACAGAAATTAGTTTATTAAAAGATGAAATAGTTTGTACTTGGGCATTAAATTGAATGTGTGTTTGCCTCAGTTTGGGAGAGTTGAGTTGATCACAACACAGTGTACAGAGATATCTCCATTAGCCGGAGCAATTGGTGCGGAGTGCTTCCGGGAATGAAAGATTTCCGGGTAACTAGACGACTCTCTCCAAGCCGGAAAAAAATCCCCCATCCCTAGAATTTTCCAGGTATTGGGAAAATTTTCTCTGAATTTTCCAGAAAATGTGTCCCTCGGAAAATTTTTCCCAAAGTTGGAATTTCTGGAAAATTACGGCTTTGGGAAAGATTTTCCGAGAAACTTTCAGTTCCTGCTATCAGAGAGTTCTGGGTTTGAGGGATTCCGGCTAATGGAGATATTACAATTAGTTTGAATTGCCTTTTATGATGAGGTTTTGTTTGTGAGTATGTATAAGAAGTTATACTGTATTCTCCAAGGAGAATTTCCATGTGGCATGTTATATCTAAGGGTATTTGAGTTACCTTTCTATTTGGCAAAGAAAGGTACAGTATGAAGGAAACACTAATGAATTACCAGACACATTATGTAAGTGGTATTAAATAATTTTATCCCATTCAAAAATGAAATTCAGCAATGTTTTTAGTTGTACTGTACATATAAGATTATTTTTTATCTCTTGTTCAATATTCAGAGAGTATAGGGCTTTCTGATTTATGAATTAAAAAATAAATAAAAATGAAGATTGTATTTTTGATAACTTGTAATTTGTATTTCAGGCTTGTGATCGATTGTTAGCAAAGCGGGTGGATGCAAAGATGCGCACAAGGAAGGCAGATTCTATACTGAACCGTGTTCATGTAGCTATGCCTTCACAGAGAGATCAGAAAGAAAGAAAACCTTTCATTCCTGGTGAGTTGGATTTGTCATTGCAAGAAGTTTGAAAATGCAGGAAGGACTGTATTTGTGTTATTATTTGTGATGGAGTCTTGAGAATCTCGTCTTCTTAGTTAAAATAAGTCTGGTAAAAGTAGAATGTACAGTATTATCTCTATATACCGAACCCCTCCTCAGATTTCAGTAGCACCTTCTCATTCTGAACGAATTCGCTATAAACTGAATCCCTCAAATACTTCAAATATTACAATATAATACTGGTATATCCCGTAAATCAATGTCCCATTAATTGCCATTTGGTATAGCTGATGATTACTTTTTGGGGGAAATACTCAAGTTGTTTTTTTTTACTACCCCATTGATCCAACAATTGGGGGAGGAGCATCAGAGCTGTTTTGTATTTGGTGGGAAGAGCCGTGATGCAAATTCTTGCCTCGAGGGGGTTCTGCTCGCTGCCTCCGACTCATTTTTGCCTCTCTGTACAGTACGTGTTTACACTTACCCTGTTTTTTCGTTGTTTCCGACATCGTGTGTTATGAAATCATGCCGAAATGCTCCAGCAATAGTTCCTCTTGTGCTGCCCCTAAGACATCACATAAGACCGAGTCTTACTGTCAAGTTTGATGTGATAAGGCATAATAAGAGCAGTGATAGACCAATCAAAATGTTCCTCCAGCCTCGGGGAGAAATGCCGACTCAACGTTTCAACGCAAATAAATGTCTCAATTTATGCTCACATTCCTTATTTAATGCCTATTATGATTGCTTCATATGTCTTTATTTCCTTGCTTGACAGTGTGCATGGCAGAGATATATCAAGGGTAGATGGGAGTTTTTGAGGGTGGCCGGTCCCCAGCCTCCCAAATTTGTTATGTGCTTATGGGAATAATGAAAGTGAAAAATACATCATCTGGTAAAGGTGGTGGGCAGCTATCAAACAGGGAGGTACTACCACCTAGGAAGATATTGGAAGCATAATGTGTTGTCTTATGTGCTGGGGTGGGTTGTCCCTGAAGAAAAATAAATAAATTTCAAGTTTAACTTTATGGAACCGTATTGGCGGATGTTCGTAAGTTGGATGTACTTAACTCAGGGACCTCCAGTATTGGCCTCTGCTAGGAAGACTACCCTCAGAATAAGTGAGGGCAACATATATTGTGTACAGTTACAGTACTTCTCCTTTTTCTTCGGTACATTCATGCTTTTCCCATATTTTCACACCTAATATGTTACAGGTCCACCACCGATTTTCCTGCACCCTTGGTTTCAAGGCCTTGCCAGATTATCCGTTTTGCCGGGCCAACCGAGGTCCGGTAATAATAATTCCACAATACACCTCTGACCCACTAATGATACACCTCCTGTGTCTCTAAAGCACCATGGACTGCTATAAACATATATTAAACAAATAATAAATGTGAAAAAAAAACATAATTTTGAGCAGCATTACTGTACACACTTTTTTCTCAAATGTACTACAGGTACACTAGACTAAAAATTTTATCTCGTGCAATCTATATGATGTTTATACTCAAATTAATCACTATCTAGTCAGCTAGTTATTATAAGATATAAGCTTTAAACCTTAAACTACCTTCACCCTGGCTGGGAGGGAAGTTAAGTGCCCTCTCATAATTTTGTCTGGACTAAAGGAGGTGCCGGACCATCAGTTTCCGGATAATCGGTGTTGTACCTGTAGAACAAGCATAACAAGTTTATTTTTGTAAATGGTGATGTGTTTACCAAGAAACTCATAGGAAGTGTTCCAAGTATGTAAAGGCCACTGACCAAAATGTGTATGGAAAATTTAGCAGGAGCCATATTGATGTAAAAGCAGAATGAGTATGGATTTGTCATCCTTCTTTGTAGCAATAGGATGCTTTTACAATATACAGTATTGAAGATTACAGAATCAGGTATTCATTTATCAGAAATTAAGTCGTACTGTACTGGTACCCCAAACTGTCACTTTTGATAAAACTTATCCTCTCAACACTTAATGATTGCAACTCCATTTATTTTTCATCATCAACAGAAACTGTCCAGAAAGCTGATAAAGAGAAGATGGAAGTTTCCGAGCCCAAAAAGAAACTAGAACGAGATCTAGAGGAGGAGTTGATGGATGACTACAGTCTTGACCTCAACAAAAACAAGGACCTGGAGAATGAGGAGTGGAAATATGACAAGATTCCACAGTTTTGGGAAGGATACAATGTGGCTGATTTTGTTGATCCTGATATCATGACAGTAAGGAAATTTGCATTTGTAAATTGGTGGCTATATTTTTATGTCTTCCTGGTATGGCTGAAAGGACTGATTATTTTATCCTATTCTGTGTGTCATTCATCATCACTCAGTTTTTAACCCTTAACTTGCAACTATAGGAAAATCTTCTCTGTTGTATGCTGGGGTAAAGTGTTCAGTGAGTGTAAGGGGGCCAAGTAAGTATGGGGTAGGAAGAAACATGGGGAAGGGGGGCAGACTGCTGCTAATGACAATGAACATGTGACATCCATGATGACTGCCAGGTAACTGAGAGCCCTATGAAGGCATGAGAAGTCTACTGGGACATGTGACAACTTTCAAACGAGCATGAAAATCCTATCGTTTAATGCATGTCACGTCACAGTTTAAGGGTTAAAAAAATGTGTAAAAATGTATCTTTAAAATTTTTCCTTGGGAGGGGGTATTATTTTCTTTTACTGTGGATTTTGCGATGTGATGGTTTTATGGCTGTTCCTGGTTGAATAATTCTACTGAGCTCAGCTATAAGTTGAATGTTTGAAGGTTCTGCATATTGTTGTGGTTTATTTGTCATTAAAGGGAGAGTGTACATGAGTTGTTAGTATTAGTAAAGTATACTAATGTTTTGTTACAAAGGAGTTCTATTATATTGAGTTTTTGTACGTCATTACTAATTGGTTATTCTCAACAGAAATTAAATCAACTATTAGCAGAGGAAGAGGCTCGTGAAAAGAATGGTTTCTATGATACAAATATCGAGGAGGAAGATGAGACCATGAAGGAAATTCGTAAACTTGCCAAAAGGATTCGCGAAAAGAAAATAATCAATGCAATAAATGCCAGACTTGATAAGCCTAAAGGTAAAGCTGTAATATCACGTGCCACAAGGAAGCGTGAGCGTGAGAGATCTGTATCTCGTCTGAGGTCAGAGTTTGAAGAATTGGGAGTGGATATGAGTGACGTGAATGACTGTCACTTTACACGCACTAGAAGTACATCAAGGTCACGTCCTCCACTCAAGAAGGCTCGCACGGACTCAGAAGGCCGAGTGCGATCAAGTTCTAAAACTCCTCGTGATCAGAGTGGAGTGAGGGATGTCAAGGTACTGTAATTAACTTTGTAGTGTGTGTTTGTGCTGATAATGGGTTATAAATTTATGCATCTTGCACTTCTTGAATCTTTACTTCTCACAAATTTTGTAATTTGCTGGTTTATATTTTCTTTCATTTTATATGCTTATTTCTTTAACTTTCAATTTTAGCAATACTGTTCTTTTGATTTTGCATGTCATTTGTCCTATTTTTAACTCACACAGTAAAATCCCATTAATGCAGGCTCCACATATCTAAATTGCCACAACAACCAGCATTTTCTAGCTCACGATTTTTATAATTGATATAACAAGAACACTACTTAATATCATTATGGCTGGGGATGGTGTGGTAGTAATTCTAATGGGATGGACGAGGCATGAGGGAGAGGGGGGCACATATTGCCAAATCTGTTTATAGGGGGTCCTCATTATCGGAGGCTATTAGGGACTGGAAATTTGCCATTTAAAGAGGGGAATTTCTGGCCTTTAAGAAATGAGGGAAATAAGATTTGATGGTGACCAAAGATACAAAATTATTCTGAAATGTATTAAATTACCCAACACAACCCCACTTCTACAGGTCTGATCCCTGAACCTCCCTTACGCTTGGGTCTTGCACGAGCATCTCTTGCTACCTCAGCGTGTTTATCACTTGTCTGTGCTCATTTGAAAAACAAAAATAAAATCATTACAATACTCTAATATGGCTTAGAAATAAATAAAATATAATATGAAACTAAAATAAGGACAAATGAAGAGCATGGGTGTGTATGTGTAGGAAATAAACATTTGCATTTAGGCAGAAAGTTGTAACTGTGCCCAGTTGCACTCTCCCACTTACTATGTGATGTCACGGCATATACACAGAGTCGCAGCCACACAGGAGATGAGCAACTGAGATCCCCCATGCCATTCGCCCCTCCCCTGCCCCAGATCTGTGTGCTAACTCGCTTGAACTTTTTTTTTTTTTTACCTTGGAGTAGCCGACCCGGGCACAAGTGTCACCGACTTGGGACAAAAACAGTAAATTAAATTAAACCATAAATAAAATAAATGCGGAAATTTAAAAATAAAACTCACTGAGATTGCGAAACGATATACAGTACATTCAGAACAGTATGTTTTTCTTAAGTTGTTTTTTATTTGTTTTTTACATTTTGAATGAACAATTGTGTGTGCTTGTAACAGACTCTGAAAAAATATATATATGCTGTACACTACCCGAAATTATGTGTTGAAAATAATCATAACTTAGGTCACAGCTCGCATGAACAAATTTTTATTCTTTGCTTTGAACCATATGATAATTATTTCTTGTACGTACTCCCCAAGTTACAAGTTGAAAAATAACCATAACAAAGTTCACAGCCCAGCCTCACCCGCTCTGAGTGCTATTAGGTGCTGAGTTAGCAACGCAGTTACGGTCCATTGCCTCACGAACCCACACATTTTTTTTTATTTTGTAGTTTTTTATTATATTTTCTTAATTTCAAAGCCACGTTAGAGTATTGTAATGATTATTCCACAACTTTTATAGTTTCATTGCATGTAACAATGGCAATATGCTTCCTCCACGGATATTATTCCTCGTAATCATCATATATGTGGGGTCATTTTACGTACTGTTCGGTAATAATTTGGCCTTGTAAATGCAAAACCACAGATATCAATGACTCCAATAACAAGGACCCCCTGTACAACAAAATAATTTCACTCACTATGATTTAAATACCATGAATGTAAAAGATAGATTAAATAGAGAATAATTTTGAAGATAGCATTAAAAAGCAAAATTTTAAAGATGTTGACAAAGGAAAAAATCTCGTGTGCTGGCAGTCGTCGTGACTTATATTGACAGGCCTGTTGTTCTCTCTTTATCTGAAGTTTATACATATAAAACATGTAACATGCAATGCAAGACAATGTCAGAAACGTGTATAGGAAGTCAAACTGATACCAGACAAAAAAGTCTGTTGAGGATCTGTAAATGTTAGATTACAGGTAATTATCAGTAAGATAATAATTTGGTATGTTTTGTAGGGACAGGTCAATCGCTAACCCCACTTTCATTCACAGAATTTTACAACTGTTTGTAGTAAACACAACAAAAACTGCTAGGTGTTGGTATCAGCACATGAGGGAAGAGAATGTCCTAAGATTATTGAGTGGGACTTTATATTATTTTGAGTAGAGAGTAAAGAAAACAGAATTCCAAAGAGTCAGAGGGTTGACTAAAAATGAATGGGAAATTATTCTACTGTATTAGGCAATTTCTATGAATCACCAGCAACGTTTTTGTTGTGGACCAAATCCATGCACAAAGAAAGAGAGTAAAACTATAATTGTATGGCCATAATTTGCTTAAACTAAGAACAATTGACTTACAACATTAAAAGCTCGAGTAATAAAAATTCATATATTTGAGAGTAGAAAATATCCATAAGCATATTTCTAAGTATTTTGAGGTATTTACCAGTACAATATAATGATCACATGGAACTGTTGGGTTTGAGCAGAATGTGTATTTTTTTTTACAACAATTTGCTGGGCCATGGACTGGCAAATCATATAATTGGGATTTTAGGCTCAATCCTTCATTTGTATATAAAAAAAATCATATCTCGGCTGTTTTCATACTTTAAAACTGCATTAGTGTACTGTATGATGTTTGGATAAAAATTAAATACTAAACTTATTCCATTGCTATTTAAAACTTTAACATTTAGATATATGAATTAATATAAGTAATATCCTTCCACAGATGGCTAAGAAATTGAAGAAGATTGGGCGCAAGGCACAGTTAGTCATAAACAAAGATGGTCGCAAGGGTGAGGCTGATCGTCACGTCTATAATCTTAAACCCAAGCATCTCTTCGCTGGAAAGCAAAGTTCTGGCACAGCAAATAGAAGATAATCTCTCAGATGAAATTGGAGTGGCAGATTGTTGGAGGCAAGTTGTTTTACTATTATTATTATTATATACTATATGTAGTTATTGTATTATGTATTGAGATTTACCTACTAACTAAAATGATGTATTTATCATTCATGAAATTGTGCTGATTTGGAATAAATAACATTATTCTACAAATTATTTATTTGGTATACAGAATATTCTAGGTTGGAGTTATAATAATATGAACTCAAGATTGCTATATTACAGTATAAGTACACAATATACTGTACTGAACTCTTCAATGTCAATAAAATATGTACAGATATATGAATTTTTAATCCCATTGTTTAAAAAATTCTTGCACACTCAACAAACTTATTAAACCTTTTATTGTACAGTAGTGTTATGTTACAAGAGTGTCCATAAAAAACAAAACATATCTTGATCCCGGTTACCTTTTCAAGTGACTTAACACAATCATTATGGTAAATAAAGCACATGCAAACTTTTATTTATTTTGTAATACAGTACAGTATTTTGTCAAGTTTCCCTTTAATGTTATCACCAGTTAAGTCTAATTGATATGGATTCAGCAAGTTCAGTATTTGGAAGTAATATCAACCCATGTCCATTGTCTGAATCTACTTGATCTCCTGCAGGCAAGCCACTGATGATATGGTGTGTTGACAGTTCATTTAACAAGTCCTCCTTGTTACGCCCACAGAATGAGCCTCAATTTCTCTTTCAGAGTGAAAACTTGATATGCATTTAAAATTATATGAGGAGCCTTCAGTTATACTCTCAGGTACCCTACGGTATCAATTTTACCCGTTTTATCCATGCTACCTGTGTTCCTGTTTGTGTTTGCAATAATCTCTTAAGTTCATCCTCACTTTGCAAATCCTTAATCACTTCTGAGGGTAAAGATGTTGATGTCGGGCTTACCTATACTGTGCAGGGTACGAACAGTGCTCTCACTTAAACCAAGCACACAGCCAACCTCCGACACACGCTCTCCTCTCTGAAGGCGAGTGATTACATTTAATTTCACGTCCATTGTGATTGTTTTTCATGGCTTTTTAGCTTTAGGTGCCCCAGAGGAGGCAGATGGACATTTTCCAGACATGCTCAATGGGGAAAACAGCGTTTAACACTAAAAAGGTACGTGATAAAAACACAATGCAAATGAGAGCACAGAGAAAAAGTAGTGCTGGTGTGAACTGAGAAAGCGATTCGTGGGAAGCTTGCTGGACATCGTCACAGTTGTACAGAATACTTCATTATCATTAGTAGTAATAATCTTTATTATTACATTATAATTATTATTATTATTAAAATCGTTGATGTTAATATGACTGCGACTTTATAGTAATAACTTGCAAGCACCTTACCAGGCTTCACACACGACTCCACTGCCAGGCGAATACCCGCGGCAAATTTAAACTATCTTGACCGTGTTATTTAAAAAAAATAGGTGCGCGTAAATTAGCTTTTGGTATTAATTGAACAATCGCGTTATTCCAAAAATGCTCAAATCAAACTACCTATCTATGCAAGTACAATACTGTATATAATGTTCAAACACCATATTGTATTTAGCTTAATTTTTCTCATGAAATTAAACTTCTAGCAAAGGCAAAATAAACAAACATAAAATTCAACAATTTATTCTATGTACAAAATTTTTATGTACTTATATGTAGGAACCTGACATCCAGGAAAGGTCATTAACATACAAAAATATGAGGAGCATTAAAGGTAAAGGGTATCAGATGCATGTGGCCTTATCATCGTTGTGTTGTGAGGAGGTACTGGCCTAAAATGTAACATTACATTGAAGACCCAACATTCTACTTGGTACTGCACATGAAGGTCATACACACCAGAAACATTAACACAAACTTTCTATCAATTCTTCACTGCAAGAATGAAACCAGTTGAATAGTAGATAAACACCGACTCAGAAATCATTGGTCAAATACAATGTAAATCTTTTTACCATTTGTTTGTAAAATATATCAAAGCTCTAAATGTACTGCAGTTATTTACTACCAGGTTATGCTACCACTGCCAACACATACTATCATGGAGCTGCTGGCATATACCATATACCTTGACTGTTGGTAACACAAATGAAACATGAAGCAATTTATCTAATATTAATTACTAAGGAAAGACGAATGAATTATGTCAAGTATACTTTGACCGTTTCTTAGTCAATGTATACATTATTACACTGACTGTCTTATTCCTTCACTTGTATAATAAAAGTTGAATACCCAGCAACATTCACTTTAACTCCTCTCGTCTTTTAGGAAAGGACTGTGCTGTACCACCCTACTCAGCAATGGGACTTCACAAGTTAAAAAGTTAATCTTCTACTGCAAGAATATGATGATCATAAATTTATGAACACTAAAATTTGAATACTGTATAACTATTTTATTCAGCAAGGAAAGACCTAAAAGAGATATCTAAAGCACAATTACAAACATTTAATATCCCACTTATTGTTAAAGCACAGTACTGTACATGAATGTTACACAACGTTATGTTCTTTTGTGTCATCCTCAAAATCCTCGTGTAATTGTGCTGACTTTGCTCAGATACCTGTATCTTAGCTAAGATAATCAGTTAAACCTATTTTGTCATTAAGACCAAAACTTAAAAAAAAAAGCTAACAGAACCCAATAAAAAATAGGGTGAGCTAAAGAAAAAATTAATTTTCTTTTAACTGTTTTCCTGTTTTTGCCTTCAAGTGCTGTAGCTAGGAATTGCGTGAGTTATTTTTAAAACTGTAAATTAGTATTGTAAAAAAAAACCGCTTACAAAGAAATAGGATGAAAATATTCATCCAACCTTGGGTTTAGAGTTGTAATACTGCACAAGAACACAATGTACCAAAATATCCCTAATAAATCTAATTCCTTTGTATTGGTGGATTATAATGGCAAGGCTTAATTTCCTAACATACAGTACATCAGCTTCATAACTCACAAGTCATATTTAATACAAAAAACTTTAATTTTTAACCCAGATATCAAGTTGTAATACTGTAGAGGGATGATCTGGAAACCCTTGCATATGTTATTTTAAGTGTATTTGCCAGGGACACTTACATCAGCAAGAGAATATATACTGTATATATAAACCACCATGAATTATGTGTCACATAACCCTCCTCCATATCAAGAGCAATATACAGGGTGTCCTCTCATAATGCCAGGATTGTATTACTTTTAAAATGTGACCGAGTGAAATGACAAAAGTGGATCAATTGGTCCCATCAGAATTAATGGAAATACTGGAGTTAGGTTCCAGGAAAATTTCATGCCAAACAAAAGTTTTTCTGTACATTCTACACATTTTCTGTTGTAAATAAGTTTAAATAAAATTTTTTTGACTAATGAATGATAGGAATGTAAAGTTTGGTTGAGGTGAGTATGGGGTTTGTACTACTGTATGTGGAGTTAGATTGATGAAAAGGTTAAAGCAACATTACCACGATTAGATCTCTCAGTGGTGGGGGTAAGACCTTAAACACCATCAAATGTCCAACACACACACACACTCGCCATTAAGATTTGTAATTTAGTACCCAACCCAATGGATGTCTTTGTCTTCTCTGGAGTAGACACAACACTTACTTTCTGGACACTTTTCACTCATCCTGGGACAGTTCATAGTAAGTGTGGGGAAATGATAAAGGGAACTCTGTATATCGAAAATTTGTAGAACACAAACAAAAGCTGTTGGACATACTGTAAACAAAACTATAGAGGCGGGAAGCTCAATTATCTTCCACACTACCATGTGGATTAAAGACATTGTAACAGAATATTACCTAACTTTAAACTGAAAATGGGACCTAATTATTCAGTAATGCCATAATGAAATGACACTAATCAAAGCAACATTATACAAGAACACTGTACAGTACTTGACATTTTAAAGTGATTATCAAACTAGTCACAGTGATAACAGGCAAGTATATTACTGTGCTGCTCTAACACCAAAACAATAAAGATGTTAGCTAATACCTTCTGTTGTTAATAATTATTCTGTAACCTGTTCAACAATAATCTTGGCTCCTATAACATTCTTTACAGCATAAAATAAACTGATAACAAAGTGGCAGAGGTTCAGTGAATTGTTACAAGTCTGGCTATAAGCCTTAAATTCATGTAAATACTGTATACATGACAGCACAAGAGATGGTATTGGTGGAGTGTACACCAACAGAGCACATACTATAGTACAGTAGTCAGAAACATAATGTTGATAAAAAGTTTGTTTTTATCTGGTTGTGTCAATATCAAAGAAACATTTGAATCTGTAAACTATATCATAATTTTCTACACTTTATAATATACAGCATACACATATTTGAAATTTTTTCTACAAGATCAATTCTTCAAATTTTATTTATTTTAATAAATAATTTTTTTCCATAATTTTGATAAATATCTCTTATTGTTGTACTGTAGAAGATTGTTAACCTAACGATCTTTAATAAAAACGGGTTCATTAATTCTCGGTTAAACCCAACTAATTTGCCACTAATTCCATATGAAAGACTACCATAGTTTAGACCAATACCTCCATTATAATGTCATGAAGCATTAGGCAGTTTGATAAAAGGTGGAACATTAAGTACGTAACTGTGACACTTACCTATTTTGGACAAAAATTAATTTCCTCTTTTGTTTAATTATGGTACATTACTGCATGATCAGATACCATATTACTTCTTTAAACAGCACTAACTGCTACGTTTTCGTGATTTGAACCTGTGATAACTCAAAAATTATACTGTACTGTACTTCCTACAACACAAAGACTACATAACAGAGTAACTTAAACATTCTACCTTTTATAAACACAGCCCATGTATAAAGAAGCATAGCAATACTATACACCTCGTCCTTTATCCTGCTGATGTGGAAAATATTAAGTATTACAATTGATGGAAGATGTCTATTGACCTCATTCCTTTCACAGGTCTTACTTAAAATAATGAAGTACGCACACTGGTTTTTATCAATGTAAATTGGATATACACTGTACTATAGTACAGTATAATAATCATAGAAATGTAAAATTAACAATAATAATGAAGTACTGGGTAGTTTGATGAAAAAAAAAAAAATATATATATATATATATATATATATATATATATATATATATATATATATATATATATATATATATATATATATATATATATATATATATATATATATATATATATATATATATATATAACCAAAAAAGGAACTCTCCTAGATAAGCATATACAGTAACTAATATTAAGGTATAAATTCGCATATATTTTTGTTACCGTACTTGGGAAAACAAAAATAAAGAATTCTCACCGAACATAAAGCACTTAGTACTGAATTTTGTATGACTGCATATATGTGATCAGAGATTAATGAGACAATAACATAATGCAATACTGCCCTTTAAAAAAGAAAAAGTTCCAAATTAGAAATATTAACCAGACAATAATATTGTACTCTAACACATAGAACATCTTAAATTAAGACTATGAATCAAGCTGATAAATGCAGAAGCTGTAATATTACATAAACCAAACACAAATGCTAGACATAAACAAAGGGAATGTGAAAATCCAGTTATTAACACTTGATAGATAAAGAGAAACATGGCATATATTATGGTCTGGGAGGAAGATCATACAGTACAGTACCGGGTACTCAAAACGATATCATCCCACTTGGCTATTGTCTGTTTTATGCAATGTTTACCATATTAGTTAAATGATCAGGTTACGTTACGGTGTTACATAAAATAACACAGAACAGACGATTGTACAAATGGGATATAATCCACAAAACTAAAGAGTTAATCATCAAAGTTAGATAAGCTGTTATAATAAACAAAGTTGTGTCTCACCTCATTATGTAAAATATAACTAAATACATAAAGGCTGAAACAAAAGAGACATTTTCACCCATTGGTACTGAACAAGTTTATGGTAAACTTTGATGACTCCTCCAACTTGAGCTCAGTACAGCAGTCTGTCAGACCAGTTGAGTACAGTTCAGTAATAGATATATGACTTGTATATCCCTGTAGATTAAAATTCATGGAGAAATATAAGAATCCACAGCTGGTTCCTTACTGTACTTTGAAATACAAAGTAACAGCTTTTTCATTGGGAAGATTATTATAAAGTATTATTTTTATTTATTTACTTGAATGAATTACATTAACACTATGAAACTGGCTATTCATCTATTGAACACTGCAATATTTTAAAAGTAAGACAGTGGATTTATTTTAGCATTAAAATACAGTATTCTAATTCAGGGACTACCACTGGAACAAGAGTTTGGTGTGATGGTGTCATCCCACTTGGACAATTCTCACTTAGAGAATCGTCTGTTTTATGATAATTTTACCATCCGAGTTAAATGATCAGGTTAGGTTGGGTCAAGTTAAATCACATAAAACAGACGATCATCCAAATGGGAATCTTCCAAGTGGGATGTAATCGGTGTCACCATTTTTATGCCAACATGCCTCTTAAGAGAATAATGGGAAGGATCAGAGTATTTGTTTGAAAATCCTATTCGTCTGGCATAATTAAGTTACCTTTATTCCACCTGTGGTTTAGCTGTAAATTCTTCAACCTCAAAGGTCATTACTGAAGATAAGTCATTAGTTGGTTTTATATTATTTGCTATTAATATAGAGAATCTACTGCACAATACTTTGAAATATGAAGAATGCATTTCAACCTCAGACAAGTTGGTCTAACTTTGACTTGTGTCATTTTCACACAGTACAGCACTCAAGGTGAAGACACAATTACTGTACCTCAGAAGCCACAAGTTTGTTTGAGCAACGAGGATATTGTACCATGAGTTTGTCATGTTTGTAGTTAATAATGTTGGCCTTCAGTGACAGGAGTTACCACCACTAAATAGACCTCAAATTGAACAGTTGTTAAAGAGAAGTTTCTCGCTTAAAAAAAGAAATCTTGTATTAACTTCCCAATAATAGTCACCTCATGTGATGGAAAAACAACAACAAAACACATTATGTCTTGTAGCTTAATAAAGGACACTAACAAATAAAACAAATTGGTAAAAACTTACTAATAAATAGATAGGTTGCAGGTGACACCAGAAATTTTTGTGCATTGCTGTCTTTCACATTTAGTTTTATTATGAGTGGTTGATATTCTGTGCAATGTTGCCAGAAAAAAGGTAATTCGTTTACTTGTAAACTGCCAACCACTTATTATCGGCTGTACCAACAGATGTGGGACCTTGATTATTAAAAGATTGGAGCGCCTGAACTTGCCTAGCTTATACTACAGACGGGCATCTCAAGGGGTCACTACTCAGTCGAGTGTCCTCACTTGGAGCTGGCGGACGCTCGCCCCACAAGGGGTCACAGCCCAAGATTGAAGAAGCCGCAAGTCCAGAAAACTGTGAGGGCAAACTTTTTCGGAGTGAGAGTTGTGAACTCTTGGAACAATCTACCAGAGTGTTGTGATGGCACCGAGCGTGAGCTATTTAAAGACAAGACTTGACCAACACTGGAGCGGGTTCAGGTACATTCAGGAGCCGGTGCATGCCCAGTACTTGCCAACAGTGAGTAAGTAGGACAAGATGTTATGGGCCATCTGCAGTTGTATTTATTAAATGACTACTGTATTACAATTTTCCATTATTTTGTCAGACATTTTGATGGAAAAACTATGAAATAACTTGACTGGAAGAATTTATCACAGAACAGGTAGAACAAGCATGATTCTCTAGACTGATATAAATGTTCCTTATAGTAAGTTTGTGAAGCTGATACACTGTAATAGTTTAGTTAGAACTTTTCTTTCTAATGTAAATAAAGAAAGTCATTGTTTTTAAGTAATAACAACTGTGAGCTAAGAACAAACAAGAAAAGCTCATGGACCATCACAGGAAATGGATTAAACAGTTGAGGAAGAACCAGTAATCCAGCAAAACTTTTCACTCTGTATAAGAACTTTACTTAGGGGCATCAATCACTTTAAATAATATTGGTTTGATCACAATGAGCTAATTATCAAAATGTGATATACTGTACTGTACACTATTTCACAACTACTGTACTTTCAGACTCACCATAAAGGTAGTGACACATACAGCACTGTGATATAGTGTGAACACCATACAAAGCTGGATGGATACACAGTAAATCTAAACACAACTATTGTAATGGATGTAGTTACCAATAAGTTGAAAAATGGTGTACAATACATAACATTCTGGAAATAAATTCTTATAAAACATACAATAAGCAACAGTACCTACACTGTTTTGCTTGTGTTACACCTGTACACTGTTAGATGTTATCTTAGTAATCATCAAAAAGTTTACCCTTAATTATTGCACTCTGTGACCAATGCTGACCTCTTAACCAAATTCCATCATGTATAACAGGAACAGTCATCAATGTACACTACACTTATGAGCCGTCATGATGCTTATATATGTCGCCTCTTTGTCCTGCTGCTGCTCCACGAACCCTGAGATTCAGACTCATGAGCCCAAAGACACTGATGCATTATTCTTATTCAAATGACAGGATATAAATACTCCAAATACAAATAAATAATATATGCATAGTCCATGGGAGCAACTTATGACCCCTTACCATCCTCATTTATAACCTTTTAAATGCTTGCTTCACAAATGTATTACAGAAATACAGAGCCAAATGCAAGCTAATATACTGATCCAACAAAATACAGAAACAAATTTTTTTTTAAAGTTCCCACCTCCAAGAAACTTAAATTTCAGTTGCTAAAATATGGAATAAATACTCAATTCCTTCCTCATTTCTGTATTATGATAAATCAAAATTTATGCAACTATATAGGACAGAACCTTGGAACGCATTGTGGAGATTATTGTTTGAGCACCATTAATTCTCAGTCTCTCTACAACAAAAATAAGCATAACCTGGAGAAAATTGCTATTAATAACTAGCATACCAAACTAAGTAAATTTCTTTCTTTCATGTTTATATATCACATAATTATATAATGTAAATATATACAAGTAAACTGCCACAAACTGATAATACAATGCACCCAAAACTTCTGTCTCATAATTTTGACATCTTGACTGTAATCTCCTTATGCCTGAGCTCAGTCTAGTAGGGGCTAAAGTATGAATGCTGAGCCACCTTAGCCCTAAATTTTCAATGTTTACTTTAAAAAATTGTCTGCTCATAAGTAAATCATTCTAATTCTTAATCATAAATACATTTTTCACTTACAGTACGTTTTAATGCTGTTTAGAGTTTGAATTTCAACACAAATCGGTGATACGTCAAATGTACAGTAGGAGTCTAAAACAAATATAGTTCAGTGAACTGATGAAACTTTCCATTATCAATTTAGAGACTATCTCATGGTAGGGAATTCATTCTCTTCTGGAAGAAACTTACAAGCAGCCATACAATGTACTCCTCATTTGTTGAGATATAATTAATAATACATATATCTTTCCTTTGGTAAGCTGTATAAATCCCACAGCTTTGGATTCATGAGTCTGAATCTTGGGGTTCATGGTTCAGGAGGAGAGGCAACACAGGGCTTTTGTGGGTAACTGTACATAGCCTCAGTCATCACACGAATACAAACACCTTTCATATAATCCCTAATCAAAATGTTCATTTAGCCTAAGCCCAAGGTGGAGGTGAGAGCAATCTTGTCATTTTTTAACTAATGGAAAATAAAATAATAAATATTTTTAGTAGGTATGCGTACTGTTCTCCTAAGTACTTCTCTGATCCTTATCCAGTCTTCTCTTACGTGTAACAGTTGAGAGTTAGTGGGAGGGGAAGGAGTATTGGAATTTGACTGACATTATCATATACAAACATGAACTACTTATCATGTTTTAAAAATAATTTACAGGAGTAAAAGTAGTGTGGTAAATTTAACAACTATTGGATGTCAAGTTTCATTCAACATTATAAAAAATTATATATTTTTTTATACCAGACATGACATTAACCACCACCTTACAGAAACATATGAAAATCAAACATGTTCTATCTTTGTGTAGTTCGTGAGTTAATGCATATAAGCTTAATACATAACCACTGCACACTTAAAAGAAAATTTCAAATGAATCAAGAAACAAAAGCTTGCAAAGCAGTTTTCTGAAAACAACAGACTACAAATGTACTGTACTGTATCTAGATTTAATATTAATTACTTTATTGCCACTGTCCTTATCCAATATCTATAATATTAATATAATATAATTTTGCATGTGGTATCACAGCCCATGAAACCATTAATTGGCTACAGTACTTCCATTGTATGTAAAGCTAACTACTGTACTTATTCTTACTCAACAAACACCATTATTTACAAAAATTAAAGAAATTCTATTGAAAGAGATACAGTAAGTTCTTCAGACTCAAAGAAAGCTACATCCTGTAAATTAGGAATAAATCTTATTAAGTGACAATGAGATTTATGAAATTAACATTTGACAATATGCCAAACACTAACATCTTGCTTCACTGCAAAACTCTTTATTCTGCTTAATCTTAATAAATTGTACAAAAAAAAATAATTCTTGCAAAAAAGAACTCACTGTTTCATTCATATATAGAAGATAAACTATATTTATTCAAGTTTCCTATTATCAGTCAACATATCCTTGTAAATGACACACTTCTGGCATTCTATGTTAGACTCTTCGTGCATACCACAACATTCACACAAACCTGTACAACATCAAATGTTTAACATTGGCCTATACTGTATCACCTTCTCTATGAAGTTTTGTATAAGGTTCTTACCGCTTTACATGGGGTTTATGTGTGATCACAGAAGGGAGGGCATCCTACAGTGGTTCACTACTGCTGTACAGTACAGTACAGTACAGTACAGTACAGTATATGCTATGAGTGAATCAATTATGCATATATCCTGTACATCTTCTGCTGCTGTGGCTGCTGCTGCTAAATCATCACTCACTTTTCAACTATTCCTGGAATCTTAGAGATGATGAAACACAAATATTAATTAAATACAGACAAAATCTTCAAACTTGTTGAGCTGTTTGCAAAACTATTCCAATTTTGTGTTACCAATAAATAGACATCTTTTAATGAATATAGTGTATTCTGATGTTTTAATTATATGTTATATTTATAACTACATATAGGTAACTAGGGTATTACTTTTGTTGCTACAAAACTTTCTGAAACAAAGAGAACTCCCATAAAACTATAAAAAATATGTTTAATTTATATACGTACATTTTTACTCACTTATTGCGTTTGTTATTGTCATGGTCCGATGAATTACTCAAGACCATTTAATTTGAGGACAGCACTTGGTAGAGGAGCTGAAGAAAGGCCCCATAAGCAGTCATGTTACTTCATCATCCACACAACCCATGATGATAATGGACCCTTAAAATGCTTCTTGTACCAAAAAAGCAATAGCAGTGATTGCTCGCCTCTGGTTGTTTTATATTGACTGTGATTGTTACCTTAGTTTTTCCTCCTTTTATCATAAAAATAAGTCCAATGAAGTAATATGTCAACCCAAAAAGAAGGAAAAAGTCAGAACAAACACAGCAATAGGGATATATAAAATGAACACAGCTTATAATCTATCAACCTAAGCTACTGAAAACTGTAGCTTTTAAATACTGAACTGTACATGGTAATTATATTCCAACTCCAATCCAATATACTTTTTTTTCCCACTTCTTAGAAATAAACACTTTTTAACATGTTTTTCCTCTATAAATAAAATTTGAAATCTTTAATGTACAAAATCTAAGCAGGCTAAATTTCAGGTCTAATGGACATATTTGAGAGAAACTTGTTCCTCCTGGGATAAACACACACTCCAGACTTCACAAGCAGGCACTCTCTCAACACAACTGAAGGGCTTGGTGAATGGCTCATATAAACACTAGTGGACTATAAGTCAATCTTATAACAATGATTCATACAAAAAGGAAATAATGTCAACAAAATAAAATTAAGACTTGTTTTAACAATTTCTTGTGTCCATAACGTGTCCATAAATAGTGCTACACAACCAGTGAGCAAATTTATCGAAAACAAAAACAAATATTTTAGAAACTTTTGCTTTAACCATTTCATTAATGGAGAAGAAATTTGAAAACATTCAGATATTCCTTTAAACTAAACTTTACAATAGATATAAATGATACATTAAACAGATGAATGTGTCTGTATGAGGTACAACATAGAAATTGACATCACTATAGTTGTGCTTGTCACTCATCTACCAAACCTTTCAACACTTCTGAACTCTACAGTCACAGAGATAAAAGATACGGGTACTGTGAAGGTCAGTGGAGCTGAGCACATAGCCGGTGTGGAAAGTGACGGGACTCCTGCGAGCACGAGAATACTTGACTGAACTCCGGTAGTTGAGACAACACGGCTTCCAACCTAAAGAAATTAGAAAATTATTTGTATTATAAAGATATTGACATTATTTGTGTTAGCCACCTGGGCAGTCATTCACATCTCTATTACACACCGATGGTAAGTACTGGGCATGTACATACGGACTCTAGAATGTACCTGTGCCAGTGTTGGTCAAGTTTGGTTAACTCACACTAAGTGCTGTCACACCACAGTACAGGTATTCCACGAGTTCACACACTACCTGTACTTTAGTACATCCAAAATAACTCTAAGGCACCAAAGACTGCCATAAAAAAAATCATAGCAGGCGTGTAATTAGCATTGCAATGCTAATTAGAATTTTCCAAGAGTAATTACAACAAGCAATTACCCGAATAATTATAACAAGCAATTACCCAAAGATAAATTTTTTTTCAGAAGACCTTTAATCAACATGTTCTGAACAAAATCAAAATCAGTTTATCGACACTTGTCAAATACCGTACATACTGTATATAAGTACATTAAAGAGTCTCATCCTCTTTTCCATCCATCTGTGTCACCCATATTAACCCGATAACTGCGACATACATTCTCGAATGATAAGCGGAGCAGTGCGACATACATTCTGGAATTCAGAGAGTTTTGAATGGGGGTCGGGCCAGTCTCTATTGGATTTAATCCCATATGTTCTGTTGTTCACTTTACGCGGTTTTCACTTTCCGCGGTACCCTGTGGGTTCAATTGACCGCGTAAATATGAAGGGCATGCAGTACTAGGTGTTTTTTGGCGTACTGGGGGGTTGATCGGCCAATCCTCTACCGCAGTTATTGGGTTAAACAGTGGAGAGAAACAGCAGCACATATTAATTATACATCATAATAAAATGCTATGCTCATGCTTATGAATGTCAAACTATACAGTACCTTGGTTTATTCATCAGAGAAGGATTACAGGTTCGCTCTATGTCCTCCTGTTGTAGAGTAACATCTGAACATATGCTCTGGAGAAGTACACATAAGTTTACATACATTAGTAAAGTATTTTGTACTGTAGTGAGAAAAAGTTGGTTTATTTATTAGGAAAAATTCATTAATATTTGTTATTTGCACCAATTTACTTATATTTTACTATATTAATTAAAATTTAACATCTCAAAGATATGAATCAAGGTTTCATATCATGATATACTATACTGTACTTGCAGGCTGTTTTTAAAGTACAGTAAAATATTTTTCACTTTCTATGACAGAGGAACATCTTATTATAACACAAAATAGTGAATCATAAAAGACACACAGCATCGGTAACATAATACAGTGGGGTATGCTATAACGAATCTAATTGGTTCTAGAACCTTGTTCGTTATAGCATTCGTTCGTTATAGGATTAATCCGTTCCAGGCCCCCAAATACAACCACTTAACACTGAAAAATATAATATAAAATTGTAAAAATTTTAAAAAAATGCATAAATATGCATCTAAACCTCTGAAATAAAGAATATCATTAATACTTGTAATAAAAAAAATAAAAAAATGTTCATTGTAGGAGTTTCGTTCGTTATAGCATTCTCAATTTTATAGGTAAAACCGTTCGTTATAGGAAAATTCGTAGTAGGATCCGTTCGCTATAGCATACCCCACTGTATATATATATATATATATATATATATATATATATATATATATATATATATATATATATATATATATATATATATATATATATATATATATATATATATATATATTTCGGCCTATAAGGCGTCGGGGTGCATAAGACGGCCCCCCCAAATTTCCATTTAAAAAGTAGCTTTTGAGCTCTATTCGCTGTATAAGACCAGTACCCCAAATGTGACACTTACCCACTGACTCAGTAGTCCTCTACCAACCATCCTTGGTTTTTTAAAATAAGGCCAATTCACTTCAAGTAATGTCATCAAATGTTACCCGCTGGTGTAGTGTAAACACTAGTGACATCACTGAAGCGTCTGCTATTTACCGGTAACTGGAACTAATGTCGGTGTCGAGTAAAATTTTTCCATTTACTTGAAATGGATTTACCGATTTATTTGTTTATTTATTTATTTATAATATACTGTAACATATTAAACACACTGCAAGTATTTTCTTTAATTTATATGCTTGCTTCACACGAGACGATCGGTGGTGGGAGTGTTACCTCGTCTCGGTGGTGGGACTGTGTTCCCACTGTTTACCGTACTTTTTTTTAGTAAGTTCTTTTTTGTTATATTTTTTACTAAAAGTGTTATTTTATGTGGATAAAAATGTTACAATGGACTTAAAACTATAAAAAATCAACTAAGCATGCTTGAAAACATACATATCGACACCAAGATCACCCAGATTGACCAACTACATCAATTTCTATAAGAAAAATCAACTTTTGAAGGTCAATATGGCGGTCATCTTGAAAAATGGTCGCTATCTTGGATTTTTAAATGGCCAATCAGGCAGACTTGACTAGTAACCATTTAGCTGCCCCACTAATGTCACCACTCCCATCTCAACATGACACTCATATACTGAAATATTGTATTTCATACTACATATGACTTTACAAAAAGAAATGTCCACGTCTGGTTAAATAACTCTTGTAGATATAATACCAGTTGAATAAACGAAACTAAAAAACTGGAGATTGTAATTACAGTGATGCCTTGACAACTCCATTATGAAGTTAGGGATTAGATGACGCCAAATTCAATCACCTTAATGCACTTTAAGAGAGAGGAGTCACCGTGCCAGGGCTTAATATTATCCTGGACCCTAGAGGTTGATGACGTATTCAGTGTCAGGGGCAGAAATACATCGATGTACACAGCACCTGATCCCAATCAACTCCAGTATAGGTGTTAATAATGTAGAGGTGACCAGGTGTGTTGCACGTTGGTAGTGTTGGATGGTGATGCAGGAAAGAGGTAGTGTGTTGAGGGTGGTGTGTGGTTATGACTCACTCCCACAACCCCCCCACACCACTCACACATCCTCACAACTGTACCACAAAACCCCCACACTACTCTTACAGCATCCTCACAACACTACCACAACCACCCCACACCACTCACACATCCTCACAATTGTACCACAAAGCCCCCACACTACTCATACAACATCCTCACAACACTACCACAACCCCCCACACCAATTACACATCCTCACAACACTACCACAACCCCCCACACCAATTACACATCCTCACAACACTACCACAACCCCCCACCCCGCACATCCTCACAGCCCAACCCCACCAATTGCATCCTCCCAACACTACCTCCCCACACCACTTGCACATCCTCACCCACCCCCACCAATTACATCCTCCACCCTACCCACAACCCCCACCACTCACATCCTCACAACACTACAACCCCACCAGTACATCCTCTGCTTTCTTAACCCCACACCAATTACACATCCTCACAACACTACCACAACTCCCCACACCAATTACACATCCTTACAACACTACCACAACCTCCCACACCACTCACACATCCTCACAACACTACCATAATAAAATTAATTATTTCTAGTGTGGTCGACTTCCTACACAAAGACAGGCTATAAATAGCCGTCTTATCTCAACCTCCTTCCTTCCCCCTCCATCCCTCTGTTCTCAGAGAGGTCTTGGTAAATAACTTTTGTTTGTTTATTTTCATTGTTTGTCTAATTTATCATGTTGTATCAAAGTAATATTACTAAAAGTTTTAGGCAGCTACCAAACAGGGAGATTCTACTGCCTGGGAAGATATTGGAAGCATAATGTACAGTATTGTCTAATGGTAGACCCTGCTGCCATATGGCATCACGAAAATTGTGACCAAGTCTTAGGTTGCTGATTTATCTTTTTGCCTCATTTACACACAATTGCAGAGTTTCAAGTGTTTCTCTTCCTTTGACAACACAACATACATACAATATAATGTTTCTCACCTTTGATCTTTTTTCCATTTATTTATGGTTGGTTATTTAAAATAATGCTAATTCACTTCAAGTATTGGCATCAAATTTTACCGGCTGGTGTACACTAGTGACTCACTTAAGCGGCAGTTATTTAATTGGAACTAATGTTGGTGTGAGTAAAATATTTCCATTTACTTGAAATAGATTTGCCGATTTATTTGTTTATTTATTTATTTATAATATACTGTAATACATTAAACACACTGCAAATATTTTCTTTAATTTATATACTTGTTTCGCGAAAAAGGGAGGCGACCATTATAACTGGTAGGTGATCATTAAGGACCAAACTCCTAATCCATGACGTGACTTCTGTTAATCATTTATATCCTAAATTTACCACTGTCGGTAGTTTCAAGAATTAACGCAGTCATTTACTGAATATTCTTTGTAAAAAAATAAATTTTAAATTAATTATTTATAGGAGATAAGTATTATGATCAGTAAATATTCAGATATACATTACTGACCACCTCCGAACACAAGGATGGCTAAAAATAGCCACAGGCGATCACAGTCAAGGTCACTTTCCCTGGTAGGACTTTGTGAGTGGTTTACCATGTTTCCATCACCACTCTTGACACGCAATATTTAAGAAGTAAAAATTTTATATGGTATTGTTGCTATAACGAACGGATCCTACTACGAATATTCCTATAACGAATGGTTTTACCTATAAAATTGAGAATGCTATAACGAACGAAACTCCTACAACGAACATTATTTAAAAAAAAAAAAAATATTTTTTTTTTTTACTAATTTATTGTTTTTTATTACAAGTATTAATGATATTCTTTATTTCAGGGGTTTAGATGCATATTTATGCACTTTTTACAATTTTATATTATATTTTTCAGTGTTAAGTGGTTGTATTTGGGGGCCTGGGTAGTTAATCCTATAACAGAAGCAAGTGCTATGAACAGGTTCTAGAACCAATTAAGTTAAATTTATAGCCTTACTACTATTATATACCTATATATATATATATATATATATATATATATATATATATATATATATATATATATATATATATATATATATATATATATATATATATATATATATATATATATATATATATATATATATATATATATATATATATATATATATATATATATATATATATATATATATATATATATATATATATATATATATAAGTTTAGTTTTTTTACGGGAAACAGCCCACCCAGGCACAAGTCATCGACCCACAACGGGGCCTAAGGGGTGAAAAAATAAGAGTAAAAAGAAATTAAAAATAGAAAAGAAAAAGAACACTGTATATTAATCTCCACCACGAAGATGCCAGTAAACCATCTTTTTGAAGTGAGACAGATTGTATGAGTGTGGAAACACAGAAGAAGGCAGAGCATTCCACAGTTTGGTTGTGTGAGGAAAGAAGGATGTACTATAACGGGTTATTCTAGTGTGACTGACATCCACAGAGAAATGGTGGGCACCGCGGGCAAGACGAGTGTCACGAGCCCACGGCCTTGCCAGCGGTACACAGGAAGCCAAATCCACCGAACAATGCCCGTTAAAGTACCTGTAAAAGAGAGAGAGTGAAGCAACATTGCAGCAAAGAGAAAGGGAAGGGAGATTATCAACTAAATGAGGGGAGTCAATAAGATGAAATATCTTTGATGATAATTATAATAATAATAATAATAATAATAATAATAATAATAATAATAATAAACTTTAAATAAATAAATAAATTAATGAAAAAAGATCAAGAGTGAGAAATGATATAAGTATGTTGTGTTGTGTTGTCAAAGTAAGAGAAACTTATTACATTTGTCTTCACTGTGGTATCAACTTACCCCAGCATATGCCATGAAAAATATATTGGTAGTGTTGAGACTCTCAAAGCTTGGGTGTAAGGGCTGAGTCTGCAGCTTCATCAAGGAGAGGTAGGCCTGAAATTAAAAGAAAAAACCTTACTCCAATCTCCTCTATATTCATTTCTTTATAATAAACATGAAATTGCAGCACACTCAAAAGTAATTTTCAGTGAGAAATTAAATTTCTTTTCTTCAGAATTTCATCTATAATAAATTAATTGTACATCTACATGGTCTATGTACAGTATGTTGTTTGCATACCTGCTCGGTTTATGTATATTGTATACCTACATTCTCTATACGCATGCTGAACTGAATACCTGGATTGTCTATAGTATGTATACTGTACTATATGCTGATCCAATGTAAGCAAGTATGACCATTTCACAGATTAATATCTACAGTATACAGGGGGTTATATTTTTACTTGTGTATAAAGAAATGTATATTCCCTTTATGTGTTTGCCCTTAGGACAATTATTTCTTTTACCTGTACAGTATTGTATACCGTATATACTCGTCTGTAATCCTCCCTCGTTTATAGGTCGACCCTGATTTTTTGACCAAGAAATCGTTAATTTGTGACATTCATCGTTTTTAGGTCGACCCAAGTTTTTGAGGGTAATGGAACAACAAAACCTTCAGTAAAAACACTCCACGTCCTATAAACTGAGGCTCGCCGTGCCTGAAACACCGAGTGCCGAAGGCAAATTGTTTACCATTTATTATTAGACACTTTACACTGAAGCACGGGTAGTTTCAACAAAAATATTGTATATTTCCATTCAAGTATTTATTCAAGTCAATTAGGAGGGAATATTATTGTAATACAACAGTTTTTTAACTGAAAACCATTCGAAAAGCGATTACGGTAACATCTTTTGAACGAAAAATAGCGAAAGTCATTGTTTTCATCACGATTTTATCCCACTTTCCACTGTAATACGAACGTCATTTCAGCAAAAATATTACATTTCCGTGAATGTATTATATCAAGCACAGTATGAATAGAATATCACTAATATAACAGTATTTTAACCGAAAACTATTAAAAAACGAGTAACATCTCTTGAACATCGGAAGGTTAGGTAAAGTCTTTTGTTTTCATCATGTAGTTTATCCTAATTTACATTGAAATACATCACGTTTCAGCAAAACTACTATTTATTTCTGAGAATATGGAAATGTAATATTTTTGCTGAAATGACGTACGTATTACAGTGGAAAGTGGGATAAAATCGTGATGAAAACAATGACTTTCACTTTCTTTTGTTCAAAAGATGTTACCATAATTGCTTTTCGAATGATTTTCAGTTAAAAAACTGTTGTATTACAATAATATTCTATCCTAATTCACTTGTGATGTAACAGTATTTAACTGAAGACGATTCAAAAAACACGTGTACCGTCTAGCTGATACGGCAGAGCCCTGGTCGCGGAGGCTTTGTTTTTGCATCGGCCCTTCTTAAGTAGCCTTTAATTTTAGCGTATGTTGAAACTGTGTTTACCGGTATATTCTTATTTTCTTGCTTCTTATTTTCCAGAAATATGACAAGTTTGTATATAATACAATGTTACAGTACTTTTAATTTACAAGTACGTATTCATTTTTAAAAATACAGAAGACACCAAACAAATACCAGTACGGATAATTGCGTGACTCTCCCGCCAACAAAGACCAAACAGCTGGCACTCTCTCTCTCTCAGCCCTACCAAAAATAGCCCAATGACATCTTTCTTGTTTATTCTCTTCCAATTTCTCACTTTAACTGGTATTTTCTACTTCATATTGCCTACATCAGATAAACTACAGTAATTGAGGTTAGACACTGCTATAAATTTGATTACTGGGTACTGGCAGGATGCCGTTACAACCACCTGACCCTACCAACAGTGTTGCAATTCAGACAGCATTTTTTTTTTTACATATTTGGTGTCTCCATTTCTGTTATTTTTTTTCTGTGGGGTTTGCACAATAGTAAACTGTTTTACCTACAGTATTGTAAAACGATTTGGGAAAAGAAATACTCGGTAACTTAAAATTTTAAACGGAAAATCTTGAAACTGGCAACTGTGTGTAGATGACCTGACTCACATCATATTATGATTTTGATGGATTTTAATGAAAATATTCAGAAGTATGGTATCATAGTATTTATTCAAGTGAATTAGGATAGAATATTATTGCAATACAACAGTTTTTTAACTGAAAACCATTCAAAAAGCGATTACGGTAAAATCTTTTCAACAACGAAAGAAAGCGAAAGTCATTGTTTTCGTCACGATTTTATCCCACTTTCCATTTAATAAGTACGTCATTTCAGCAAACATATTACATTTCCATTTTTATTTCTGAGAATAAATATTCATTCAGGCACAGTTAAAGTAAAATATACTTGTGACGTAATATTTTAATGAAAATTTTAGAAATACGGTATCGTAGTTTTCTTTTGTTTCAAATTTAATTAACAAAGATTGAGGTTTCAAATTTAATGAAAAAAAATTTAAGTATCTGTAAATAAACTTTTAAAAATTAATACTTTATGTTTTACATCGTCCTGTGCTACCATACCATACCATGCATTTGGCTACTTTGGGCTTGCTATGATGACGCAAGAGATCTGCCCTGGCAACTGTACCGACACTCACAGCTGGTGGTGCGTCGTTTCCATTGTTTACTGGCAGTTACTGGCAAATATTTTTCAACCTAACGAAACTATTACACGTTTAAAGATCAACCCCCAATTTTTTGCCAAAACATTTGGTCTTAAAAACTCGAACTACACACAGGTATATACGAGTGTGTGTGTGTGTGTGTGTGTGTGTGTGTGTGTGTGTGTGTGTGTGTGTGTGTGTGTATATATATATGCACACACAAGATATATTCTTAGGTGAGCCAGCAAAGTGAACACGACAGATGTTACCTGGTATGTCTGCCGGACAGCATCAACCTCTGAGGCAGTATCAGGAGCTGTTCTGTCTACAACTGCATCTTTTTCTATGGCCAGATCCATTGTGGCAGAAGCTATGCAGTCTGCCATCCCTCTTAGGTTGTCCAATGACCTGTTTAAATAATGTTTTTTAATAGGAAATCAAAACATTCAAAAGTGTTGAGAATTATGATACTTCTTATATTTTGTTTTTAGAAAAAACAGAGTCCATCATTCTTATAGAAAATGGGATATTCAAATCATCTCTCTAAGTTATACATATCTCACCAATTTCACACAAATGCCACTTGTTAAGGCATCCATCTTTCCCTTACTCAGGTTCAAATTAAATTTTCTGGTATTGTTTATGATCCTGAGCTGAATAAATTGTCAATTCCCAACCAATGAACACCCCATAACATAGCCCAACAGGTATTGTGGCACTCAACCCCTGACCAGTAGGGTGATATTTAGCAGGAATGTTACAACTGCTGCCCAACATTGACTGCATTAGTTCTTAGATTTTGTCTGTGTGGCCAAATTCCTAACCCCCTGCCCCTCAACATAGGAACACCTGCACTTCCTAGATGAGTTGCAGATTTTAGACCTCATCATAGGCAATGAAACCAAGGCTGAATAAAGAAGTCCTATTTTATGGCAGAAAGCTCAGGTGAGAAACCTGGATTCTCTACAGTCTCCCAGGGGTTGGTGTATACAGTGGTAATGTGTGTATCTCTCACTAATATGTCAAGGGTTTGAAACCAGCTTGGCCCAGACACAACTGAGAAGGATATTATCCAGTTTCCTCCTATTCTAACACTGAATAGACCAGCCACCCGAATGGCTATTAAGCTGGTAAGTGGGAAAAAAAAAAGACAAGGGTAAGAGGTACAGTGAATTGTTAAAAGCTATCACTGCTAACCTGGTTGCTTCATCAGCCAAGTAGATCAAGCACAACATCAGAGATCACCTTAACACTCTTAGGTTAAGGTAGGCACTCTCCTACAAAATGCTTGGGGTCTGGTCTGTTACTCACCTCACTGCACTTGACTGCACCACACGAGAGATAATTGTACGTATTGAGTTATCGCTATTTGAGATAAAAGGGTGGGATTTGTTGCATTAGCATTGTAAATAAATTATCTACAAACAGTTTTAAAAGAGTATTCACCATAAAATAATTATTTATAATCATAAACACGAGTAGAAGGCATCAGGAGGCACCACACTATCACCACGTAGTGCAATTTCCTTGCACTTTTTAAATTTTCCCACCCCTCACCCCTCCAACCTCGCGAGCAACACAAGACATGGTTCAAAACTCTCACGACACTGTTATGAATAAATGAAATCACTGTGATGAACGAAAAATCGGAACAAGCTGAGAGAAAATGCGTGGGAAATGTGGGTCAAGGCCATGTCCTGCATCCTTGAAACATAAAGGAAGACTGGTGTGTTAACCTAACCTTGGAGAACAGTCTACATAGTTGCCAAATTGCACCACCGTCAAATGTGCATCCTGCGTATCTAGCGTTCATATGCAAACAAAATTAATTTAATTTTTAACTTCATACACAAATTAGCATATAAAAACCCCGAAAAGATCATTTATATCATACACATTTTTCATATGACACCCCCAAGAGTGTTAAAAGGCTCTTGATAAGATTGGATAAAGAACTACTTGGGGAGCAATGGCATTATCATCTTGTGTGTGTGTGTGTGTGTGTGTGTGTGTGTGTGTGTGTGTGTGTTCTGCCAATAGACAACCTGATAGTCTCTGTCAGGCATTAACCCCTTCACTATGGGGACACCACTTTCAATATTTAATTTGGGTATTGCTACAATACTATTCAGCATAGTGTTTTAAGTGGTTCATTGCTTGGAATGTAACACCTCACACCCCAATGTACTGGCCATAAAAAAGTTATCTCACACCTCATTCCTTCATACTTTTTAATTCCTTCACTATAATTTGTTACTTTTACAACATCTCTTACTTGTAACCATGACCTAACCTAACCTAAACAATTACTTTTATTGCAATACATCTCTCAACTTTTCATCTACAGAATAGAGTACTGCATTTATATTTAACTTCGATGGTCACATAAGGAATCTTATTCTTCATCTCATTTAAAACATTGAGTCTAATTTCCAAATCTATTATTATTACAAAGTTACCGTACATTGTGCAGTTCAAACCTGTTTGTATACACCGTTCGCTCTGCAAGTTGTCCTCTGCTATTCCAGGAAAGGCCAACAGAATCAACGGCTCGTAACATTTCGTGTGCTATTTGTACTCCCATGCTTCCATACAACATCGCCCTAAAACAAAACAAAGTTATGAGACAAATCTTTCCTTACTGCACTGATGAAGTTAACAACAGCATGAGAATACAAGATGATTTATGATTGTACAGAGGATGATAACATGAGAAGACAGGATGATTTACGATTGTACAGAGGATGATAACATGAGAAGACAGGATGATTTACGATTGTACAGAGGATGATAACATGAGAAGACAGAATGATTTACGATTGTACAGAGGATGATAACATGAGAAGATAGGATGATTTATGATTGTACAGAGGATGATAACCTGAGAAGACAGGATGATTTACGATTGTACAGAGGATGATAACATGAGAAGACAGGATGATTTATGATTGTACAGAGGATGATAACATGAGAAGACAGGATGATTTATGATTGTACAATAATGATAACATGAGAAGACAGGATGATTTACGATTGTACAGAGGATGATAACATGAGAAGACAGGATGATTTATGATTGTACAGAGGATGATAACATTAGAAGACAGGATGATTTATGATTGTACAATAATGATAACATGAGAAGACAGGATGATTTACGATTGTACAGAGGATGATAACATGAGAAGACAGGATGATTTACGATTGTACAGAGGATGATAAAATGAGAAGACGGGATGATTTATGATTGTACAATAATGATAACATGAGAAGACACGATGATTTACGATTGTACAGAGGATGATAACATGAGAAGACAGGATGATATATGATTATACAATACTCAAAGTATCTTTCAAAAGCAGAAAACATTTAGTAGCCATAGTCCCAAAATCTGTTTATCATTAACATATAAATAATTAAATTTTCTTTCACTGCATAAACTTACATAGGATAATTGCGATGAAAGAGTGGAGGATTGAGCAAGTGTGGTGGTATAACTATCTTGTTAGCTTCATGTATATAGGTGATGGAATCTGTTGATAAGACATCCATCCAGTCACTCTCAGGCATCGGGTCTATCAGCCGCATCTCCATCTGCCGTCCAGCGCTTCTAATTGAGTCCTGTAAAAGATTCATTCTTGTATTATTTCACACCAGAGACAACCGGACCATTTACTATTTTTTAATTATCTACGTTGATATTACCACCACTTGCTAGCCCACAGAAGCTTGGAAAATGGCTGTAAAATAGTGAGGATTATTGTGTACTTATCTTCACACATTTATCATCCTACTAGCCAGAGGCAGACAATCACTACCCTCTCTGTTGCTTATCATTGGCAGCTTCTGAATACTGTACAGTATACACAAACTTTATGGAAACTTGTCAACATGTGCTTTACCAAGTTTAGTTTTATCTAACTAATCCCCAGGAAATAATTAAAAAATAAACCAATAATCACTCTTAGAATAATCCTGATGTTCTTACGTCAGTGTTAGTGTCTGTTTGCTTCATACTCCCCAGTATGTTACCTGTATTATTCCTTCTGGTCTTGCCTCTTACGCATGTTTCCACCAACTTGCACATAACTTCAGATGAACATTTGGTAATTTTGTACCAGTTTTCTTAAGAATATTCCTCTCAGGTGAATAAGTGATGTGAAAAACAAAAAATCACTTTTATTTAATGCCAACAGTACATAACAGAAATGTGATCGGCTGCTCAAGCAGCTAACGAGCTGATAAGTGGGGAAGGATAAAAATAAAAATAAAAATACTGCTGACAGGAAAAGGAAACCTCTATCATCCAACCCATGGATCAAGGTGCTATTACTGCTTTTAAAGCGAATTATTTACGTTCGACCTTCACTCAGGCTGTTGCTGAGGGAGGGTTGTCCATGCCTGCTCTACAGTAGAAGTACAGTTTTATATTTACAAAATTTATGATAAATTAAATATACTACTAGAAATAGTGAGTCATGTTTTAAAGGTTTTTGTAGAGTCAAAAGAAAAATAATTACAGTACATAAATAAAAAAAAAAAATCTCGCTGTTAAAATTAAGTACAGTATAAGTAAAATCATACCATTGAATTTTATTGTTACAACAGTTTGATTTTTTGTTTTTGTTTTAATTAACCAAGTAACATTTGTCTGTTCCATCCAGTATTGTATTACATGAATACACACTACAGTAAGACCCATAGTTATAAACACTTAAGCTCACCTGCAGGTTTTGGAAGAAGTCCTTGATGAAAATTGTGTAATCTTCATAGTAGAAATTTATCACTGAAGGGTTCAGGAGGCGCTCTGGGTAACCAACTGCCAAGGACATGTTGTTGAGCTGCGGAGATGGAAACATTGTAAGTCAAGATATCAGAGTCCTGTAATTAACACAATTTTTGTCACTAATAACACACCATTTAACGGGCAATGTTCAGTGGATTTGGCATCCTGTGTATCACCAGCAAGACTGTGGGCTCGTTTCTCTGTGGATATCGGTCACACTAGAATAGCCCATTATAGTACACCCTTCTTTCCTCACACAATCTGCCAGGAAACATTGTGACAGCACCAAGTGTGAGTTCATTTAAGGCCGGATTTGATTAACATTGGAGCAGGTTCAGATATATTCAGGAGCCAGTGCATGCCCAGTATCTGCCAACAGTGTGTAACAGAGAAGTGACCGGCCCAAGTGTGGCTAACAAGCCGATCAGTGGCGAAGAGGATAAAAGTAAAGTAAAGGTAAAAGTTTTCCCGCTTTGAGAGAACCGTCTCATACCCAGAAGTGCTCTGCACCAATTGTTCCGGCTAAAGGAGATATCACTGATACCTGCATAGTTTACATAAATGCCTATCCAACTGTAGATCGGTACAACATTTTTACTGAATAATTATTAACATTATTATTAATATAAGGCTTACCTTGGAAGTCAGTTGAGCTTTAATTTCTAAAGGATACCATCTGCTGTTGGCCAGGTTGGACCCCAAGGTGTAGCGGATCTGATCAAATATCTCATGTAACTGAAAAATAAAATACCCGGTAAGACAGTAATGTACTGTAAACAACAAATTATTTTTAAACTATTTTCTTGGTCTTATTTCAATCACCAAAAGTAAAATCCCAAGGACTGGGGCACATAAATTGTCTGTTTATTCATCTCAAATACTGTTTTCAATAATCTTGAGTTACAGTATAAATTTTCAGGTATATAAAATAACAAGATGATAAAGTATGTACAGTATACAAAAATGAAGGATTTGGTCATTAAATCCCTTTAAATGGCTGAGTCTGTAGCTAAACAACACATGAATTATAGCCCTGAGTCCTGGGTTGTAAACAGGAGACTAATTTAAGAAGTAATTATGCTTCTCGATCACAACAAAATCTAAAAGGAGATCTGTAGAGACAACAGTTCACCATTTCAAGTAGGAAGCAATGAGCTGTGTACACATCAGTAGACACATAGCTCAATCATGTGGGCTCATCAGTCATCAAGTATCAGATGATTAACAGGCAGGAGCCGGTGCATGCCCAGTACTTGCCAACAGAGACGTGACAGGATCGCCCAAGCGGCTAACGAGCCGATCAGTGGTGAAGAGGATAAAAGAAAAAAAAAGAAGAGTACTACCCAATGGGAGAAAGAAGAGTATCCGAGTCAATTAGTTTGGGGTTCAGTTACCAGATTGGATTTCAGGATCAATCCTTCATTTATAACCAAAACCCTTTACTAGACAAGCTTTGGATTCTGAAGCCACAACAAAATGGGAAGTAGTAGATGTAAGTAAAGAATTAACCCATTACAGTATCCTGTCTTATTAGGCTATGAGGAAACTAACCTCATTAATCCACTGTTAAAATTTATACAATTCCACCTAACACAATATGGAGCCACTAAAATAATTATGATAAAATTCAACTCATTAAAAACAACTATATTGTTAATACTGATAACATAATCTATATTTTTATAGTACTTACAACTTGTGAGTTCTTCTGGCGTGAGCGGTATCTGTTAGGGCTACGCTCATACATGGAGCCTAGACCAAATTTGAAAAACTTTGCTGTTGACTGGATGCAAAACTCCCACCGTTCCATGGGCTCTTTAAGTCCTGAAAAAAAGTTACTTAAAATATTCACTATAAACAAGTTACAAGTAATCAAATTATAACTGAAAAATTATAAATTCTTCAACATCATTAAGACTACTGTATACTTCCTCTAAAAAGTATCTTTACGATTTTATGTGAGACAATATGACACACGGGCGAAGGATTTTGACAACCCTACCGAGACAACAGGAGTAGACGTGTTCATTGGATCCCTCCGTAAAGATGCTTTTTGGAGTGAGTGTATATATAATCCCTTTATCCTTAGACAATCTCAACATATCTGCCCAGCTATTGAGTGTGTGGTTCTCTTCTTTATCCCTTAACTAACTGCCTAACTCTACAACATGAGTGTTATTTTAACCTTTACTTACAAACTTATGTAAATTATACACCTATTATATCTCTTAACAAAACCTTGTATGACAAAAACTGTGTGTGTGTGTGTGTGTGTGTGTGTGTGTGTGTGTGTGTGTGTGTGCTCGGCCACAACTAAATACTGTACAGCCAGCTCTCAATATACACAGTAGTTATGTTCTTTAAAATGGCTGTGTAAATAAAAAACCTCTAAATCAAACTTAATTATCCAATATGAAATAAAGGAAATGGCAGAGGTTAAGTGAAATGCTCCCTAAAAACTTTAATTTGTTTACCTATTTCCTTCAATATATTTATTTACAATAATAATAATAATAATAATAATAATAATAATAATAATAATAATAATAATAATAATAATAGAAACAAACCTAATAATACAGTAGTAAATAAATAGATTTAAATTAAAATTTGTGCTAACACTTACATTGAATGATGGGTGGGAACTATTGGTGGTGGAGAGGTGGAGGGTTACTGGGGGAGGGGGTCACCTGATCAGATGACAGAGCAGGTGATGGGGGAGGAGAGGTGTGAGCTTTGGAGATGACAGATGTCAATGGCTGAGGTTCAGGTGAAGAAATTTTTTATTTGCGTAAAGTAGGAAAGCAATAAGGGACTGAACTATGCTGCCTGGCACAATTTCGTTCTTTTACAAAAAACTCTGTTATTTCAAAAACGTGTGAATTGAATCTGTGACTGTACTGTGTTTCTGTCTCGTATTTCACAGCTACAATATCATCATAATGTTGAAACTTCCCATTTTTAGAATCTTCTCTATTTAAAGATATAAACCTTCTCAACTATTACAAGTACAGTACAGAACTGTTAACAAAAATTCCAGTCATCATATGCTTTCACTACTATAAAACTCTCATAATTAGTCTCCTCTTTAAAACAACACTTCTCAAAACCTTAAACCCAACACTTCTCAAAACCTTAAACCCTACAGTCTTACAATAAGTTAAATTTCTTGATAATAATAGACAGGCATGAAATATATACAGTACCAGGTATTGGTACTGTAATACTAAGTCATGAAGGAGTCTGGAAAGAATGACGAGTGAATTATACCCACCAAAGGCAAGGAAAGAAAAGTGATTACTGTACACTACAGTATTCTAATTCGACCGTAAAGAAATACATAATAAGTTCTCAAAAGAAAAAATTACAGTATACAGTATTCTCTTAAAGCTCGTGGTTTTAAAACTTGCCTCCCTCGGAAACTCACAGATTGCCATGGAAAATAAATAGATTAAATCTGAGGCTGTGTGCCAGAGATCAAGAGGAGTCAACACTACAGTACAGTACAGAGCACCATATTTCCCAGGTCATAAGATGCACCCTATAATTAGCAAGGTATATTTTGGAAAAAATTATTTTTGCTGATTTAATAGCCTACTGTAATGGCAAAGCCAAATCACTGGCTATTTGCTATCATGTTTCTCACTACCACAGGTCACTATCACACTATGGACCTATTGTCAAACATTTGTTGGTATTATTAATAAAATTTACCTAATTTAATACCTACGGTATACACATTACAAATACTTATTGGTACCGGGCATGTTCACTAGGAACTGTCCAGTACAGGGATTGTTTACATCCTGTGCACCAGATCAGTCGATGTTTCAGAGGTAATTATCCTTGCATTGTCACTGTGTGGACCTAATGTCCATACAGTGTTATTTCATGTTTATGTATTTATGTTATTTCATTTTTATTATATTGTCTTATGCATACATAATATTGTTATACATGTGCATATAGCTATTTATGTATGTATTTTGCACACTCTTGGGACTGGCATGAAAAACTTGCGGATTTTGCTTTCTCACGGGGTCCATTTTACCTAACCCCAGCGAGCTTTAAGGGGATACTGCACTGTCTGTATAACTGACTAAGGCAGGATAAACTGTGTGCCCCCAACCAACATTTGGACCAATATTACCTAGAAGTTTAATTGTGAATCACATTAGAATAGGTCCCCTTAAAGGCTGAGGTAAGCCACCTACAAGTAGATTAAAACTACCGTAAGATATGCTGGAGTTCTGGAGTGATGGCCTTCAACAACTGGGCAACAACTCTCAAACTGGTCATTAAGCATTGTAAGTAAACATTTTCTGTACACTATTACTTAATTTTACAAATCTGCAAATGATTTTCCCATAATTGCCACAGTTTTAAGACTAAGTAATAATCTTTGCCTTCTGAAAGATCATGTGTTACAAAGTACTGAGTGTTACAAAACTCATCCCTCACAAACATATTTGACTGTACCTGTAAAATCCTTGCGGTAAAGGTCCAAAACTCGTGTATTTTCAGATGACAAGTACGGTATATACGCTGCCACAAAGCTGAAGACCAGGTAGTTGTTCAGCAGACTTAAAGAGAAGAAAAAACTGAATGCAATATAAAAAAATTACAATCTTTTTAAAGTAACATTTCTGAGATGAGAAACATAGTTAAGAGTTTCAATTAAAAAACATTTTTATTGCTGCATGTGAATTAAAGGTCTTTTATAATTTGTCTCTGCCCTTCAACAATTATCAAAAATTAATAAAAGATTCAAGGTGCTGTACTTTCTGTCAGTTGTGGAGATGAGTTCGGAGACATCACTGAAGTACTCCCGTGACACGACCAATACATCTGTTCTGTGATCCAGTTTACTGTTTGGGAACATTTGGCGCAGGAGAGCAAGCCAAGGCACCTGTCAAAATGAAATTATATATTAATATGCAAATAGTATATGAACACACATAGGCATGAGTGAACAGACGTATATGCAAAAAAATACCATATACACACACACACACATACAGTACATACATACAGGAGGTCCCTGGGTTACAAACAGGTTCCGTTCCTGAGAATGTTCTTAAGTCGGAAATGTACCAAGTCAGAACACATACCCTATATGCACTATATCATAGCCTAAGTCCTTTTACACACTCTCGAATCACTTACCTTGAACCATAGGCATAGGAGGTATGTGTGTGTGTGTGTGTGTGTGTGTGTGTGTGTGTGTGTGGAGAGAGAGAGAGAGAGAGAGAGAGAGAGAGAGAGAGAGAGACAAAGCCCTCCCAAACAGACGAGCAAATTTTTTGAGCAGCAATCTCACGAAAATTCAGGCAAACGGCCAGAAAAAAATTAATTATAAAGTATTACCTTTAATATTTACTTCTGTTAATATTATGTTTTCATTTCATTGGTTTCAATTTTTCAAACAAGTAAAAAATCGAATTTAAACAATTTAATAACTCACAAAAATGTTCTTAAGTTGGACATTTGTAAGTCGGGGATCCCCTGTACACATAATAAACACCACCTTACACAGTCAAATCAATGCTTCAAATCTGTAATCTGATGGTTGTCATGGGGACTAGTGAGTGAGGGACCCACTGTAAGATTCATTGTTTCATACCTCCTTCTATCTATCTATCTATCTATCTATCTATCTATCTATCTATCCATCCATCCATCTATCTATCTATCTATCCCTTGACAATTTTACTAATACATATAAGTTTCTACTCTTTGGCTTACCTAATTTTCCTTTATTATTTTTACAGCCATTTCTAACCCAAGTCCTGACATTTTCTAAGGAATTCATCACTTAACTAACTAAGTACTGTATGATCAAGAAATAAATGTTTTGGAGGTAACACACAAATCTCTCACCAGCGTGTCAAGGGTTCGAGTTCCACTTGGCTAGAACACACATGAGAAGAGTGTTATCCAGCATGACCCTCACTACCAAACATCTCAGTTTTCCCCTGGATATGGTCCCGTACTATTCTGGTTTCCTCCTGTACTAGCTAACACTGGATACACCAACTAACCGAATGGCTAGTAAGCTTTTAAGTAGAGAAAATTATAAAATAATAATAATAATCCAAGTTAATAATAATTTTACAAGTACAGATAGGTACAGTACTGTGCTGTATACCCGGTACTTACACTTCGAGCAATCTGAGAAAGTTCACCGATGGATATGAGGTTATTGGAAGCCTGTGGGTCCCTCAGGATGGTCTCTGGAGGAGTGATCTCAGCAATGCGGCCCTCGTAGTGGTACAGATGTGCAGCAAACTCGAGAGCGTCCGGTCCACTGGCTTCAAAGAGCTTCACTGTATCCTTAATGTACTGTTTATACGTCTGCTCGACCTGTGGAGGAACAGAAAGATAATTAATTGAGGGATTTTGAGGACTGATTCTTGTATAAAGTAACAAAATATGTAGTGAAGCCAAAAAGGATTTATTTGATTGATAAAGGAAAACTAAACATGGTATGATTAGCATAATGATGGACTTTTAAATTTGGTTAGAACATCAAGCAGAGATAAAACAAGAATAAAATTTGAGCCAAAATTTTAGATGCTTTTATTAGATTAACTTTACAAGGCTACATAAATAAAAAAATTTTAGTCTGAACAAGCAATATAATTTTAAATATGATAATATGAAGCTGAACTACGTAAATAATCAACAAATAATCCTAATGCAACAAATCTTAACATTGTGACTACAATATTTCACGGGACTTAAAACTCAGTAAAAAATCAACTCATGCTGAGGACTGTGTAGACAAGCAGAATAATCGCTGCCTCAAAACAACGGATTGACATGCAAAATAATACGAGTGCAGTCGGATACAACAGAAAGAAATTACAGTGGAGGTATTGGCAAAAAATATATAAATAGGCTGGAAAAATTTAACTTTCACATCGTTAATCATAAGTGGAAAATTATTCTAAAGATCAGTGAACAGAATCCTGAAATAAAACTCAGCGGACAATGTAACATAATACAAATTGCACTGAAAAAAAAAGAGAATTCTGGCCTCACAGCAGAAGAGACAATTGAGGCCAGGAAATACATCACAGACAGTCCACTATATTTCGCTCTCCTGGTGACTCTCTGGTATATTTTCACAAGTTATCACCCTTTCTTAAACATGTACAGTAAAAGAATAGAAAAAAACATACTGAGGTAATCTTTAGAGAATCACAACCACAAGACACAACACAACATACAGCAAAACCTCTATTTAATGAACTATATAGAGAAGATAGTCCGTTATATCACGTTACAAGCATAACTCTCATCTAACGGATTATATGGAGAGAGAAATCTGTTAGAAGGTGGTATCTCTGTACAGTATGAGAGGGCTGAGAGTTGGGGGAGGGTTTAGAGCAGCCAAGTTGCCAGCATGAACACTACAGTATGTACTGTAGTAATATCTCTGTTAGCCAAAATCCCTCTTAACCAGAACTCTCTGATAGCCAGAACTGAAATTTGCTCAGAATTTTCCGGAAAATTCCAGGTTAGGAAACGATTTTCTGGAAAATTCCAATAAATTTTTCACGGTACCCAGAAATTCTGGGGATGGGGAGATTTTGTTTTCCGGATTTGAAAGATGAAAATCAATTCATTTTCCAGAAATTTCAAGAAAAATTTTCTGGTACCTGGAAATAATTCTGGGGATGGGAAATATTTTTTCAGGGTTTGAGAGTCGTCTTGTTACCAAGAACTATCCAATTCCCGGAAGTGCTCTGTACCAATTGTTCAGCTAACGGAGATATTACACAACACTGTGTAAGTGATGTAAACAGAAAACAAATCATTATCGTTGAAAAAAACACTCATTGATACTATAAGGTGAGCTACACTGTGGAACTGTTTAACATAATGTCTGTCAAACAAGAAGTAACATCATGGAAGTAAATGTAATGGTCCTGACACAAAATACATTAACACAGGATAAATGACGAGAATCACATAGGATGATATTTGACGGTAAAAACAAAAATACATGATCTAAAAAATAAAATTTTACAATTAAAAAATAAAAACCTACAGTATTGAAAATCATAAATGAAAAATGAAAATTATAGTGTAACACTCCTAGGGTGACTGAACAAAACATGATTACTGGGAGGTGAGAAGAAACTCATTAGATCTCAGGTTTCAGAATAGCTTAGTTACCCAAATAACAAAAACAGTAAGCTAGAATATAAATTTCCCCCTCTACCCAAGTTACAGTCGATCGCTATAATTTGTGATATAAGTTAAGGAATAAACATATGAAATACCTGATGTATACTGGAAGTGAGTTGACTGGTGATACAAATATTTAATTTGGCACAATGAAATATACTGTATGTCCTAATAAATATACTGTATTTGGCTGTAGGGCCACACCACCCCTCAAAAAAAGTGTTAGGGATGCCAATACCACGACAGAGATCTGTACATTGAAGCGTCACCTTCTACTGTATATTACTCTCTGCAACTATTTCTTCACTCGCAGTGCAGAAGTTCCCGACAGGTTAGCACAACCTTCGGAAGACTAGTCCAGTAGATTTTCCAGCTACTCTTTTTTTTTCCCGACCTCCATTTACTTATAAAGGGAAGGTCAGGACCAACTCTGGCCTCACCGCCCGCAATCCCTGAACGTCTACACTACTGTACTTACCTGATGCTGGTGGCCACAGTGTGTTGACTCATATTGTATCATCACCAGAACAGCAGTGGACCACAACCTTCACACATGGACACAGCCAACATCATATTCACAGTGAGCTTATACAATTCCTTGACCTTGTTCCTCAACTTTTAAACAGCAGCCATTGTTAAAACTAAAGATGGTATATATGTGTAACTCACTGATGGTCTGTATTGATTATCACGAGGAGCTACACCCTGAGACTACTCCCTTCATCTAGTAAGGAGTGTCATTACGTTCTGTGTCATGTTATAGTTGACATGTAGAGAAGACGTGACCAACATAATGTACAATAGATATATCCTCATTCCAGTGTGTGTGTGTGTGTGTGTGTGTGTGTGTGTGTGAACCACCTACTGCATTACAGCCTCTTCTTGATATACAGTATAAGGATCAGGTAAACATACAGTATAAGTTATGGCAACAGTCGTGTAAAAGATCAGACACTTGGCCTCTACTCCGCATCAGTGTTATAATCCCCATCCCAGCTGCCAACAATCAGTCTTTACTCTGAAAACTCAAAACTTACTTAAGGTCAACCATGTCTGCTGAGCGACTTCCTGGATCTCATTAATGTACACAAGGACTTGGAAATAAACACTGATGGTAAACTCGTGGACACATTTGCTGTTGACAGTGTTCGTAAACTTGGTCTTATTTAAACTGAAGGAAGGTATATTGTTAATTGATATTTTACCTTTTTAAAGATAGCAACTAATAGATGTGTATTATTTAAATTATATCAAATGCCTTTTACGCTTGATTATAACAAAGTGACTTGCATTTTCGATATATTGTCGTACTGATGTTATTGTTACATAAAATGGTTACACAAATGGCTGACACAGACTTACAATAGCCCTGTGACTAATCCTATTCCTTAGGACTTGCTGTAAAGTGTGTGCCAAATATCATATTTTTTATCACCAAAGGCACAATTCCTCCATGTTAGTGATACATCTACCGCGGTATAAGGGATGCTTTGCGACAGTGGTGGTGGTACAAGAAAGTCACTCTTCAGCTGCAAAATATTGTTATGAAACATGAATTTTAGTAGTCGATGGAGCTGGGAGAGCTGAGAGGCCCCATCTTCTCCCGGTCATCCTCAGCGACAGACGTATTTCCAGCAACTGGGTGAGGACCGTCACAGAAAATGATCAACAACAGCCACCACAGAAACTGGTCGAGAAGGCAGATAACAGGTGGACTATTACATCCAGCCTTACACACACCTCCAAAGACAACAGCTGTAAACTAATAATGATTATATGAAACAGAACCATTAGAGAGCGTGTAAACTAGAGTATTATAATACAGTACACAGCCAAACAAACATAACCTCAGCTTTAACATCACACATCGAATTACAAAAAAAGCCAATAATTGATGAATATACAGGGTATCGCTTCACACTTAATATAGCAAGAAATAGTCTCCTCACTCTAGTGTTGACTCCCACAAATAATAACATAAATATTAATGGGCAAAGTTGTTGATAGGAGGGCCAAGGTATTGATAAAAACAGCCTGAGAACATTTACAATGCCCGTCTTTCTTTTAGTTATGCCTCAAACAGGATCTTATTGTCCTTGCCTTTAATAGTCCCGCCCCGTTTATTTATTTTTCTGGTTTCATTTGTTTAATCTTTCTGTACATTTCCCTTTAATTATGCTTCCTATCATCATCATTAATCTCCTCTCTAACTCATCTTTCTTGGCCTGTCTGCATTCCCTTCTACTAGAACTAAAATTTTAGGATAAGCTTCAGGTAAAATATTCTTTTTGTTTACTATTCTATTGAGAAATAATATACACGAGGCAGTATATACATTTTGATGAAATATGACAAAATGAGTAAATGAAACTCGGGTGGCGGAGTCCGTAGACTTTTTGTTAATTGTGGTGTGTGTGTGTGGATTATATATACGAATAAGTGTTTCTTATATTTCTTACAGTAGAGTTCGATACATTCACACTGGTTACTTACAGGAGATCATGGTGTATCTACGTAGAAATTCACTCCACCACTCGACATTTCATGTGATTTAGACTTGATAAATGATGATTTAATGAATTCTATTAATTTCCAACATCCATATAAGTTATTGGTTATACTTTTCCAAAACCAATCAGTCATTACCTTTAGTAATAATAAGATAGGATCACAGATACGGGCAGACAATTGCACTTACATTTATTTGGCAAGCTTTCATACGATGATTTACAATTTGCATGGATATACTGTACGAGTCACTCACATTCAGGCCGTAATAAAATTAATCTTGTAAAGAGGGAATTTTCAACTTGGGGACGCACAATTGGTTATTCTACTATGGTATGACTTAACAGAGCCTTAATTCTTCAAGTGATGCATTTACCGCCAGCCTGGATCGCTCTCGTCACAACCAGGCTTCCCACACGTGATCTTTCTTTCCATGGGGAATAACAAACCCTGGGTCGGCACACTTATAGTCTTGCGTCACTGACAGTCATTGTAGAGGGTGTCGCGCAGGAGAACTGGTAAGGTGACTTCATTAACCACTTAGGTTCACTAGGCCTACTGGCTAAAATGTGGTTTTAGGGGCGTGAGACACGATGAACAATACAACACTGTCTCACCCCCCCCTTCCCTGCCTGGCTCACACACCCACTAATGGAATAGTGATCACAGAGTCACGGCTCGCCTGGTGTCTTATCTCCCGTAAAACAAACACTGGAGTTGGGTTCCGTGGGTAGGCCTAACGTAACCCATGACATACACTAATTACCCTCTTGTGTTAATTACCGTTGAATTATCGTGCCAATAAATTAGGAACTGTTCAAATAAATAATTAAATAACTATTGATGCTTGTGAGTACTTAATTACGCGCGTTGTACACACACACACACACACACACACACACACACACACACACACACACACACACATGGCTTCTCAGTTAATCCAATTAACGTATTTATTAACCTGATTATCTCACGCAGGTAATTAATTAACCTTTCATTAGTAAAACATACCTGATAATTACTACTCATTTGTTTCTCTCTAATCACCATTAAGAACTACTGTAACATAAGCATCATTGAAAATTGACTAATATATTCCAGCACACGATAATGCAGGGTCATATTTTTTATTCGCAATAAATAGAAAAATATAAATCAGTCGAAATAAAATCTGATCATTGCAAAGTGTTTTTATATTCGGTAAAATTGTAGTTTCGGTCATCCACCTATTTAGAAGTTATTTAAAACACATCAAAAACCATCAGAAAAACATAATTTTAACCTAACCTAAAATCCTAAAATTAGCTGGAACGATAATATCACCTTATATTCTTCTCAATGATATCACCAGACAGTATATTTATATCAAGATAACGTAATGTGAGTTAGCCGTGGTACTCAGCCCATGGATGTTGACTAAATGGTAAATGAGTGTATCGGCCGCTGACTAAGTATTGAGTGAACGTCTCTAATTATATAAGGTAATTTTCCAGGCAATTTTTATTTCGTTTTGGCCAACATATTTTAGTCGTTGGTAAATTAAGCCAAATTAAGTGGTTCTCAGATCGACTAAAGGCGATTTTTTTTTTTTTTACTTAGGAACTTCAACGCGTCGTGGGGGATGAAAACTTGATTCTGTTTTATTTGTTCACAGGGACCCGACGCCTTCTTGTGAACCTGTGTTTTTTATTTATTCACATGAACCGAACGCCAAACCCACGAAGGATTACACTACTCCCATTGAAATTCACAAATATAAAAATATAAAAACTTTACCGATACTAAAATATATCAATTGACGATCTAACTACAGCTTTTAAATGTATTCTTCACTCCACTGTTCTTAAGTTAATCAAATTCCATCCTTGAGGAGATAAGGACATCCTAACCTTCAATCCTCATTCTTCACTCATCTTAATACAAATAAACATATACTGTACATATGCCACCTGCGCGAGTATAAGAATATTTGACACTGCGCAGTTCAGTCTTCCTTACCTCATTGTTTGGCATACGGTCGTAGTAGCTGCGGTGAGGCATAGAGAACCCCGACGGTAACAACTGTAGGGAGACACAGAGAAAACGTGGGGGTTAACACAGTGCTATACCACATCAGAAACCTACAGTACAGTGTGTGTGTGTGTGTGTGTGTGTGTGTGTGATAACAACGGCGATGAATATATATTAGTAAAAGATAATAAGCATAAGTAATGGACACACACACACACACACACACACACACACACACACACACACACACACACACACACTATCTGTGTGTATTATCTCGTGATTATCCCCAGACCACAGGGAGGTTAAGTTAGGTCAGGTGAGGTTAGGAAGGAGACAAAAATAACATTATCTTATCTTTAATTTAAATCAAGAGGCGTTTAGCTGATTGAATGATTAATTACAGGTGTGGAGGACGACGACAGGTGTGGAGGAGGGCGTGAGCCAACCCAAAGGCGACGCTGCCGAAGGATCAGGTGGAGGGGCGCCACTAATACAATCAAGAGCCCCGCGTCGACCCAGAGCTACTGACGGAGAGGTGTTGTGGCCGACCCTCTTGCCCCTCTCTCTCCCTCCCTCATCTTTACACCATCCCTCTCCCCCTTCATTACCTCCCTCCCTCCCTGTGTGTGTGTGTGAATGAGAGCTGAACAGTCACAAAAATATCCACCAATAATACACCTCCTTGCTTAGTCAGCTGCCGATACTGGCCTGTGATTGGTGGGCATAAATCCTCCACTTATTCGCCTCCGCTAGTGGTGACGTCGACACATTTACGACAGTCTCTCAGGATCTGTCTCTCAGTCCTCCTGTCTACACCATCCTCGGGCAGTGTGGGGGCGTGGTGTACTGATGTGTGTGGGGCGTGGTGTACTGATGTGTGGGGCGTGGTGTACTGATGTGTGGGGGCGTGGTGTACTGATGTGTGGGGGCGTGGTGTACTGATGTGTGGGGCGTGTGTGTGTGTGGGGCGTGGTGTACTGATGTGTGGGGGGCGTGGTGTACTGCTGTGTGGGGCGTGGTGTGCTGATGTGTGGGGGCGTGGTGTACTGCTGTGTGGGGGCGTGGTGTGCTGCTGTGTGGGGCGTGGTGTACTGATGTGGGGGCGTGGTGTACTGATGTGTGGGGGCGTGGTGTGCTGATGTGTGGGGCGTGGTGTGTGTGTGGGGGCGTGGTGTCCTGCTGTGTGGGGGCGTGGTGTACTGATGTGTGGGGCGTGGTGTACTGATGTGTGGGGGCGTGGTGTCCTGCTGTGTGGGGCGTGGTGTACTGATGTGTGGGGGCGTGGTGTGCTGCTGTGTGGGGCGTGGTGTACCTGTGTGTGGTGTACTGCTGTGCGTGGTGTACTGATGTGTGGGGCGTGGTGTACTGATGTGTGGGGGCGTGGTGTACTGATGTGTGGGGGCGTGGTGTACTGATGTGTGGGGGCGTGGTGTACTGATGTGTGGGGGCGTGGTGTACTGCGTGGTGTCCTGCTGTGTGGTGTGCTGCTGTGTGGGGGCGTGGTGTCCTGCTGTGTGGGGCGTGGTGTCCTGCTGTGTGGGGGCGTGGTGTGCCTGTGTGCTGTGTGTGGGGCGTGGTGTACTGATGTGTGGGGGCGTGGTGTACTGATGTGTGGGGCGTGGTACTGTGGTGTGTACTGATGTGTGGGGCGTGGTGTATGTGTGGGGCGTGGTGTACTGCTGTGGGGGGCGTGGTGTACTGCTGTGTGGGGCGTGGTGTACTGTGTGTGGTGTACTGTGTGGGGGCGTGGTGTACTGCTGTGTGGGGGCGTGGTGTACTGCTGTGTGGGGCGTGGTGTACTGCTGTGTGGGGCGTGGTGTACTGATGTGTGGGGGCGTGGTGTACTGATGTGTGGGGGTGTAGTCATAATGTTTTTCTTGTGTTAACGTGACGTGGCCGTTTTACAAGACCTGTTCACTTTTGAGGGGTCACGTTGGCTCACACACGACTGTACTTAAAATAAACGAGTTATTGAGTTAAATGGACATGTATCCAGAGACAGACAGACATAGAAACAAAAAATAGATGAATGAACGAACACACACACACACACACACACACACACACACACACACACACGGGCATGTGAACGACGCCAGATATCTTTCGTCACTCAGCATCATTAATAACGTTGAGACAAAATTTGGTTTAGGTTTTAATCTAAAGATAAAGTGTAAGTATTCTTATTTAACGGCGTTGGTGGAATTTATTACCAATTTGTGGTATGTTTTAATGTAATCAATTGTGTATACATAAATTGTCATTTCAGATTACATATAACAAGTCATTACCACAAGTAACTATGTTATGATGCATCGAATGCGGGTTTGTTTATTGCCGTGACGTCACAGTGCTCCGCGGAAGGCCATTGGTTAACTGGCGTGACGTGACGTTATGGCTACAGACGCAGCGCCACAAGTTGTAAATATAGAGCAACATCTTGGCGTGTGACCTCCTCACCTTTAAACTCCAGCACGACATGCAGCTTTATCAAGGGTTACGTAATCAATAAGAAACTTGTGCTACATATCACGATACAGTATATTGTACATATGAGAGTAAATATTAATAATCTTCACTACTGCCACGCCAAGCATGTCATTAGTGCATCAATACCTCGCCTCATCAAGCGGTCCTCCACCACACATGGCTGAGGCAGCTCAGGCCTGGAACATCCCCTTTAGCGGCCCTTCTCATTCACGGTCTCGACTCTCTCCTGGGTGCGTGAGCCTGCTGAGTGCCTGCCTGCCTGTCTACCTGCTGTCTACCTGCGCTATTGCAGTGACAGTAGCGGTCGGCCTTGCTGCTGTTACTGCTTCTGAGAGTCTAGAGTTCCTGTCTACCTGCCTGCTGCTGTCTCTGTCTGTTGACGTTACAGCAACAGCAGAGGTCTAGTCCACAATACTCCGGACTTGCTGAGTATCTGCCCCCCTGTTAGCAGAAGCAGGTATGGCCTAAGCAGTAACACAGCAGCATCAGGTCTGGCTCCACACAGCAGCTGTCCCTAACCCACGTAAGGTCTGGGGGTAGTGTTGCCAGGCCTCAGGAGGGCTTACGTCAGGTGTCATCAAGACGTTGTTCACCCGGCAGCGAGCGGTGTGCCGGCGTCCACCCTCCCTCCTCACGGTGAACAGACTTACTGTACGGCTATTTACACCTTTATTACACCACTCTCATTACTTTAAAGAGACGTGGTTCACCTTTAATGTCCAACTGACTTAAGGGTCTTAAAGGAGAACAACTTTAACTGGCACCTCTGTTTTGTGTGCTCTCTCTCTCTCTCTCTCTCTATCTATCTCTCTATCTCTCTATCTCTCTCTCTCTCTCTCATGAGGTATTAAGACTAACGAAGTAAATTAAGTTCTTCTGCAGGACTAATTATAGTGACTAGCCTTCAGAGGTTAAGTACAGCAGGTGGTGGTGGTGAATGATGGTGAAGGTGGTGAATGATGCAGGTGGTGGTGGCGGTGAAGGTGGTGGCGGTGGTGATGGTGGTGGTGGTGAATGTTTGATGATAATGATGAATGATGATGATGGTGGTGGAGGTGGTGGTGAATGTTTGATGATAATGAATGATGATGATGGTGGTGGAGGTGGTGGTGAATGTTTGATGATAATGAATGATGATGATGGTGGTGGTGGTGGTGGTGAATGTTTGATGATAATGATGAATGATGATGGTGGTGATGGTGGTGGTGGTGAATGTTTGATGATAATGATGAATGATGATTGATGGTGATGATGGTGTGGTGAATGGATGATGAATGATGATGATGGTGGTGGTGATGAATATGCAGGTGGTGGTGGCGGTGAAGGTGGTGGCGGTGGTGATGGTGGTGAATGTTTGATGATAATGATGAATGATGATGGTGGTGGTGGTGAATGTTTGATGATGATGATAAATGATGATGATGATGGTGGTGGTGGAATGTTTGATGATAATGATGAATGATGATGATGATGATGATGATGGTGGTGGTGTGTGGTGAATGATGATAATGATGATGATGATGGTGGTCGAATGTTTATGATAATGATGAGTGATGATGATAGTGGTGGTGGTAGTGATGGTGGTGGTGGTGAATGTTGGTGTTAATGATGAGTGATGATGATAGTGGTGGTGGTGGTGGTGATGATGATGATGATGATGATGATGATGATGATGGTGAATGCTTGATGATAATGATGATGATGATGGTGGTGGTGGTGGTGGTGGTGGTGGTGGTGGTGGTGGTGGTGGTGGTGGTGATGATGATGATGATGATGGTGAATGCTTGATGATAATGATGATGATGATGGGTGAATGTTTGTTAATGATGGAGCATGATGATAGTGGTGGTGGTGATGGTGGTGGTGATGATGATGATGATGATGATGATGATGATGATGGTGAATGTTTGATGATAATGATGATGATGGTGGTGGTGAATGTTTGATGATAATGATGAGTGATGATGATAGTGGTGGTGGTAGTGAGGGTGGTGGTGATGATGATGATGATGATGATGATGATGATGATGTTGATGTGATGGTGCATGTTTATGATATGATGATGATGGTGGTGGTGGTGGTGAATGTTTGATGATAATGATGAGTGATGATGATAGTGGCGGTGGTAGTGATGATGATGATGATGATGATGATGATGATGATGATGAATGTTTGGTGTTAATGATGAGTGATGATAGTGGTGGTGGTAGTGATGATGGTGGTGAGGGGCTAACAGGCACCAGCAGAAGGGCCACTGCAGTAGATGGATGGGCCATGGCCGGCTACCGTAGATGGATGGGCCATGGCCGGCTACCGTAGATACACACTCCTGGGGTACTACTGGCCAGGGGACCATTTGTCTTATAATCTTTTGGGACAGGCGGAAGGGGTAGACAGGCGGGGAGGGGGTAGGGGAGTGGCGGGGAGGGGTCGGGGAGTGGCAGAGGGCGGGGAGCAGCATGGTACCTGGTGCTCGTGGCTCGCCTCAATTATTCACACTGGCGCACTATCAACACGCTACTGCCTTACTCTTCCTCTCATTCTTCCTCTCACTCTCT